CCCTCCATAAGATGCCATCGAGGTACTAAGGGCCACTATAGTGGCCCTCCATAAGTTCGATCGTTTGTAGCGAATAAAGTCAGTGCTTACTGCAGAAAGCTAATTCACCTTATTTTTCTCTCAACAACGGATAAATAGATATGCCTTATTTTTTTCAATTTTGCTTAACTTCATTTGGATTAAGCCTTTTGCTACGGGCGGGTTCTCCGCTGCGGTACCTCCGCAACGATCGGCGTCTTGTAGCGTGCAGCGATGTCGCAGCGCGCCGTCCAGCAGAAGTACCGCGGCGGAAAATCCGCCCGTAGCGAAAGGGTTAAAGAGAATATACTTACTACATTTTACGCTATTCAACAAGATTTTCCAATTTGCCATTATGCCTCCAGATGTAGACCATCTTCTAGACCGCTTCTAGACCATCAATTCTGCAACAAGCAAACATAAAACCATCAGACGCATATTAAAAACGTATTAAAGACGTATATTAACCCTCGAATAATGGAACATTTTCATAGCTACGCAATTAACGATATTTATGATCGTTTGCAGCTTTATACTAACAGTAGACTATTATCAGTCTTTTTATTGTTTCTAGCGCAACAGCAATTTATTTAATTTAACTGCTGAAAAATGAGAAATTAGGCAACAATTTGAAAAACTGAGTCAAAATGGCCCGGTATCTCTCCGCAATGTCAGTTAAAAACTTATTAAAAACCGTGCCCTTGCCCTGTAGCTATTACACAGTGCTCCGAAACAAAAATCGCATAAAATGGCGAAAGCACGTTATGAAGGGTCGCGAGTACACTGGCTGGGTACACGCGAGTATAATGCAGGGTCGTGGATGCAATTCGTAGCGGAGTGAAAAAAAAAACGCATGCAACGTCGCGACTCGACGAGCGGGTGCAGCAGGCGAAGCAGCTCTGAATGATGTCCTTTTAATTAAAACGAGTCGCAGAGGTGCACAGAGAGACGGCTGGTTCTTCTTCAAAATCCTGCCGGCTCGCGGAGAGGTCCTTTTGGAAGCGATTTAGACGGCATTGTGGATGATCGGGACTAGCGCGTCGCGAGCATAAACGCGCGGCACACAAATGCCGCTTCAGCTTACGAGGTTGCACGCGGAGACTCTTGGTCCGGGCTCGTACTTAGACTGCCTCTCGGCGGGCGGCTTTCTTTCGCCTGGCAAATGTAATTAAAAATGCTCGCTTGGTTAATTTCCAAACAGCCGAGAGGACCACGCCTAAAACTCTCGCGTTATTACCAAAATATTTCTGTTAATGGCTAGCATACTGGGAGCGGTGGGGACGGTGCTGAACTTCTGAGGGGTTTCCTCAATTTCACGGGAACCATCCCGTCTCAAAATCGTGTTCCTAAATCGGAAAATACTTACCTAAGATAATTGTCCGAATGAGTTCCTTTTTAGTCGAATGTTTTATTCGAACAATTTATTATCCGTTACAAATTATTCTATATTCATTTATTCGAATTTTGTATCTAGATAGACTTTTATTCGACTGAGTATTTATTTGCTAGTGTCGAATAAAATTGTATTCGTTAAGCCTTTATCTTCTATCCGTCATCCAATTAAAATTTTAATCCCTATACCTACGGGCTGGCATTAAATGTTTTGCACACGATAACGTAGAGATGATTGATTCCTCGGAACATCGTGTAAATCGATAATTAGCACCGATAATTACCGCACTATTCTGCAGGAAGTTCATCGATTGATGTTTACAAACGCAAACATGTTTCATTCCGGTTTCAAGCTATTGTGTACAATTCCGTGAAATTAACCTCTCCTCGTTAATCCCCTTCTTCACTAGTGCAACCATTAGAAATTTCTCGATTGTTATAATTTCTTCATAGAATCGGAATTTCGTGTTTATGTTCACTTGAGTATTTCGAATTCAAATTACAGGTCAATATTCATACTTATCGGGCTATTTCTACAAATCTCCATCATAAGTTAGACTTGTACAAAAAAACGACAAAGGTATATAATATATGCCTTTAATATATATTATAATATATATTAATTATATTTAATATGTATTATATATATATACCTGTAATATTGTATATAATCTATATTTATACTCTATTATCACTGGTATGTCAACATAATAAACCTATATTATTTATATTATTTACCTTCGGTTCTTCATTATTGTAATTGCTTTGTCTGTATCTGTACTATTTATTATTCCCTACTTGTATAATCATATCGTATACATAAATTCACTCACTCTCTCTCTCTCTTGTTTTCAAAAGCAATCGTTCTTTCCCCTTTATGCTCTTATCGTACCATTTTAGTGCCGCTACTTAAAAAGTAGATATTTTTTCTAATACGCTATTTTAGTCAGCCTCGGAAGGGTTAGTATACGGACACTTAAAACCCTTAAAGAAAACACTTAAAGAAAATCGTTGTGCCATAGGTTTACGGGCGAACAGGCCGCTAATAGAGTTCGAGGATCGCCGGAAAAAAAGGAAGTGGCGGATCACGGCGGTGCAATATAGTCGCAGTTCCGGGGGGTCGGTTGAAGTGCAAAGGTCGGGCGTACATGTCGAATGTTTTATTTAAAGCGACGGAACCGCTCGGAGCCAGGGAGCGTCGCATCCGATGTTTCGTTTATTTTTAGTGATTGTGATGGAAAATATCGCTGGACGCGGCATAGTGCGCGTTATTTTCAGAAAATGTCGGGCCGAGCGCTGCGAGCCGAGCCGAGCCGAGCCGCGCGCTAGCTAACCCCGACGAATTGAAAGTGAAATCGGCTCGCTTAGGGGACCACGGGGGTTGAGCCCGCACACGTCGGCCACCATGGCGTCCGAATATCGAGTGACGCTTGATCACGATATTTTTCGAAACGGGATCGGGCCGCTCGTAAATAAGTGTCGACAGCGGCGCGTCGCCTATCGCGAAAACGAGACGCTGGTCATCACTTCGCTGGTCCATGCCCTCTCACGGGATTAGTCAAATCCCAAAATAATACCGTGGGCGGGCAAACGTTTGCACATACTGCGGTACAAATCTCCGCAACGATGTAAATCGGACGGTTTAAGCTATTCGGACGTAAATCCGCCGGCCAGTCTATTAAATATTCGAGGTGTACATTACTTGCGGTCGAGAATTCGCGGATTCGGTGTATTCCGTTGGAGCTCGCCCATGATTCGCCGAGATTCCTCGTCGTTCCGTATCGTTATTCCGATACGTTCGTTTGATAGTTCTCCGCTTCTTCGTCGAACTCGCGCAGACTTCTTCTTTCTAGCAGAAGTTCCTTTCTGGTTTCTTCGTTAATGTATTCAAGATAATTCTGTGCGACTCGTATCTTCGAAATATTATTCCACAGTCTCCGAGCGTTCTCGTTCGACATTTTGATTGGACGGCTTATTTCTAACTCGAAATTTCGTATTTCAATACGTCCCCTTCAATTATATTTATTTCATTCTCTGCTTTAAGTATTACATACCCTCCTACAAAATATGAAAATAATATCTTGAAGGAACTGTAAATTCTCTGTAATAATGTTACGATATATACTACAATTTTAAATAACCCTATCCACAGAATTTGATTTTCCTTGCGTAAAGTACAAAATAAAATGCGTCACGCCAATAACGAATGTGTTAAGCAGGCATGTGTTAAGTACACCGGATAATAGAACGTAGTACTCAATGGTAGAAAAATAGTTGGAAATTGAAGTCACGTAAGGAACGTCTGCTCAGTGTGCCTGTTCATGGCTGTCTGTTTCTGCTTACGAGACACACAAGCCCGGTATTACGACCTTATTTATTTACTCCATCTGTTTGTATCTGCTTGCCGGGGGCAATTGTTTAAAAATATAGAACCCCCGAGAAGGAATAGAACCGATCAGCAACAAAGTAAATAACGTCGAAATCTAATAACTTTAAACGTTCTCCCCTCGACTCGACTCTAGGGAAGACAAAGACCCTTTGTAAAACAAACTTTACTGCTCATCCCTGCAGAAAGAAAATTTCCTCGCATTCTACGACAACGATGACTGCGATCCAGGTCCATGAAGCATCACAAGAATAAACATCCAAAGACCAAGCAACTCCATACCATGAAGTTGTCCGATGCAATTTCGACGTTTTCACAAACACCCCTCTACCGTCTATCGTGTCTCCGCGACCAAAAGGCACCATTGTCCTACCTCCCAGGAGCAACTCACTATCGATTCGCCGCCTGACAATAACCTTTCGAATGATCCCGAGTGTCCCACGATCGAAAGTCGCGCGCGTATCCCAGCTCCTCTGTTTTGATTTCGGACAGCGCGGCGCAGACAGCGAGAGTGGACTTGAAAATAACCGACGGCAGGAGAAGGCCTGTCTAATAATAGTGCGCCGGCGAGTATCTTTGTCGTGGGTTTCGTCGGTGCGTCCCCGCGGCTCGTTTCGCAGCGAAATTCGTCAGTCGATTTACGTTTCCGCGATACATTCTCTGCTCGCGGGGACAACGGAGCCCCTGGTGCCGGAGAGCCTCTGTCGGAAGAGGATGCTGCGGAGGAGTTTGGCCAGGTAGCTGGGAGAGGCGTGGGCAGGTGAAGCGGAGGCGGCCGATCGTCGCGAAACTAGAACCGTGGCGAAACAGATGGATGGAGCGAGACGGAGCGAGACAGCAAGATTCGAACAGAGACGGCAGCAGAATCAGAAGCGAGAGAGCAAAATTTGAAGAGAGAGACGGCGACAAGATCAGAAGCGAGACGGCAAGGTTGTTCGAAGAGAGACGGTAGCAAGATAGGAGAGGAGACAGCAGCAATCATAGAGGGTGTCCCCGAAGAAGCCGAGTGAACCTAGGTGCGAGCGATCCGGATGCCGGGCGCGTGAACACGGCGGTTCCACGAAGGTTCCACGAGATCTTGTTCACCTACAGAGGCGAGTAGCTGGAAGGAAGTTAAAAGCCACGTTCGACCGAATCTAAATAAAGAACTATGCAGAGCCGCGGATGAGAGGTGGGGCGGAGCCGCGAGAGGGATATGCGGTGAGTAAGAATGGTACAGCGAGCCGCATGCAGCATCGAGGCGAACACATTCCCCAATGGCGTACGGATCAGCGACCGGGACGGAATATCCGCGGACGTCGTCGCGCCGGAAGCGACCGTAGTCGAGCAGGGATTGCGGCCGGTTCACGAGGAACGCGGTGCCGCGAGGTTCTCCTTGTTCAAGTGGTTCAAGCGGACCGGAAACCGGGAGGGTACCGTGGAGAAGCGGCGGAAGACGATCGACAAGTGCCGAGACAATGACAATGGCGGGCAACGGCGGAGCGCCTCGTCCAGCGCGGAGAGCGTAGACACGTTCTACAGCACCACCACCGTGCGCAGCTTCGCCTTCCACACGGGGACCTTGGGCAGGTGCAATGGCCTGTCGCTAGACATCCTGGGCCAGGCTGCGGAAGTCGGACCGTTTGCAGCAGGAGCATCGAAGGTCATCGTCGGCAACAAAGAGAACGACGCGGCGGACGTCGCCTGCACCCTGCCGACCAGCGCGCATTCCCACAGAAGAGACATCACTACCAGGTACTCTTTGCAGCCTTCCGCGACGTTCACTTCCTGCGGAAACTTGCCGTTCCCTGAGAAGAAGTTGCTGGGGTCGTTGAGGAGGCTAGACGACAGGAGAAGCAGCTCCAGCGCTAGCTCCACGCGCAGGAGGGTGCACGTGAAGGGCAAGAGACGGGCGCCGAACCCTCCAGCGGCGAAGGCAGAGGCGGATGCTAGGGAGACGCCTAAGAACAGCAACAGGAGAAAGAGGCGAGCCCCGAAACCGCCGGAGAGGACCTTGGACTGCGATTCGGTCGGTGGGAAGAGGGAGTCCCAGATCACCGATGGCGGCATGGACGTAGAGGCGAGAGGGGACGCCGGGGACGGACAAGCCATCAGTAACGACACGCTGGTCCTCCAGGGAGGCGTGCTATTGTCGAAGAAAGACGTCGGCCACAGCCCGAAAGAGAAGAAAGACGCAGCCACGCAAGACACGGCTATTCCTCAAGACGCTCCGCTCGTCGTCCCTGCCTTCGGCACTCTGAGCGCAGCCATGCCGCGACCTTGGTACAAACGGAGCGTGTTCGAGCATTCCCGGGATTCCGGGCCGTCCCGCAGAGGCGACGTTCTCCGGGGGCCAGCAGCCTCTACGATCGAAATAAAAGAGGACTCCGCCGCGTCGAGCATGGGATCCTCGGCGAGCTACTCCGTGGATGCTTCTTTGTCCAGACTGAGCTTTTTCCATCGGGGACAGTCGGACGATCGGAAGCGAGACGCCAAACGAAAGTCGGGGCTGTCGATCCTGACGAACATCAGCGAGCTGGACAAAGAAGCCGCGGCGATCGTGCAAGAGGAACAAGCCAGAGCTAGAGCCTCGATGTTGTTGAAGTCCTCCAGGATCGCGGACGCGTTCGAGAAGAGGGACGTCAACGAGGAGATCGTGCAGGACATCGTCACCTCCGCCATGGAGAACTCGTCGCCCAGGCGCGGCACCAGGGCGCTGATCTCGAAGTTCAACGCAATCAGCAACATCACCAAGGTGACTGTGAACGCGAACTTCTTCGCCAAGGGCGGCAGGGACCAGGGAGCAAGGGAGAGAGAGGTGGTGAGGAACGTGAAACGCGCCGACGAGACAATCGCCGACTGGAAGGAGCATCCCAGGTTTTCGGCCAATCCTGTTCTAGGCCAAGGTGGCCAGTTCGACAAGGACATCTCCAGGTATTTCCCGCAGCAGCCGAAGACCGGGAAAAGCAAGCACGAGGACGCGAAGCAAGCGAACAAGTCTGCTAAGGAACAGAACGATCGGCTGGCCACGGAGACCTCCAGCAGAATATCGTTCCTCCAAAGCCAACTCGCCGCAAATCGAATGAACGAGTCGGCGATTCCTCAGAAGGACGGCACAGCGGCTGTAATGGAGGGAAAAATTCGATCAAGGCAGGAAGTCGCCGGCGAAACAAGGGAGACAAAGCCCGCCGAGGAAAGCGGGGCCGGAGGGATGTTTTCTCGCGACCGGGCAAAGGTGAACGCGACCGGCATCTTCGAGGAGCCGAGGAGAATGGAGAAGCGTCAGTTCGACGGCGTGCAGAAGGAGTTCTCGGACATCTTCGACGAGATCGATAAGCAGCTGCGTATGAAGGAACTGAAGTACATGGATCGCCGATCGGTGGATAATCAGAGGAGCCGAGATCGCGTGGAAGAGGCTGGGATATCCAGCAAGGTGAGCAAGGTGCTTGACATCCTGGTCGAAGCAGAGAAGGATGCGAAGACGAAGTCGGCGGTGCAGTTGGAGAAAGAGAAATCGTTCGAGATCGAGCCGAAGGGAAAAGCGGAGAAGTCTCCGATACTGAACACCGTGGAGGATCCAATTACGACGGACCTGAAGGAGATGCTGAAGGAAATGAAACACTCGTTACCGAAGCGACCGAAGCCGGCGAGAACCGCGAGAAACGGCGAAGAGAGAGTGGCTAGAGAAAGAGAAACGGCGGACAAGACCACCTATTTCGTATCAGCGGTGACGAAGGTCGAGAACATCGCGGTGCAGAACGACTACGATATGGAGAAGCAAAAGGTCTCGTGCTCGGTGCAAACCAGCGGCAACGTGCGCCGGCTTAGCCAGCCGTCTACGTCCGCGGATCAGCCGTCTACTTCCGGTTGGAAGCAGGAGAACGTCGTTTATAAAACGTCTGGCAGGAACCTGGGCGGCTCCGGGCTGACGAAGAACACCTTCCAGCTGATACGGCCCCGTGATTTCGCTGAGATCGAGGCCACCAAGACGACCAGGACCGCGAGCAACGAGAACACTTACGCGAACGTGATCGAGCAGTCGATTTACGCGAATGCTCACGTCCCGGCGTCCCCGAGGCAGCGCACCGGCTCCCCGAGGATCAATGAAGTGAGAAAGGCCGATAATGTCGGCGGAACGCCAATCGCGTCTCCGCTGGCTGGAAGAAAATTAACCGCGAACGAGGACAAACCCGCGGTTAGCGAAGAAGGTAGAGATAGTAATTAGGGAACGGCGTGACTGTACCGCCTGAATCAGCCGACTAAATTTATTACTCTCTCTCTTCCTCTCTAGCACGTTTTTCCCTATGTGCTCATCCTCGGTCGTTTGTTACAGAGGACAATTCAGCGGAGAAAAACATGAACACGGTCGCCATCAACCGACTGCTCAAGAAGCTGACGGCGGCGATCGCGTCCGGACACCTTCAGCGAGCGGCCCGTCTGGCAGAGGAGCTGGCCAGACTGAGGATCCACTGTTCCGTGATCCGGCAACGATCGACCCCTCTCGAAGATCAGTTGATTAAAGTCAATATGTACATCGAGGACAAGCTCGCTCACCAGGGGCCCATACCCCTTCAGGTAAATAGCGGTAGCTACTCAAATCAAGGCGCCCGCTTCCCATCCATAAGACGATATTAGATGCTTTGCTGAGCCGAGATATGATAACAGCTACCCAGTCGGATGACGGTTGCCGAGCTCAAGGAGAAGGTGCACACAGAATTCGAGATTCCCACGAATGTGCAGCGATGGATCATCGGCAAGAACCTGGCCGACCGTGACGCCGCCACGCTTAATGAGCTGCAGGCAGTTGATGGGTCACCTGTCTTCTTGTATCTCGTGGCGCCAGGTAAACTACTTCCCTATTAACCCTACGCCACATTTTGGGCGGAAGACTTTCGCTTCTGATGAAGATTTATAGCAATAAACTGTTTAATATGCTTGTTATTGCGTTCTTTTAAGTCGGAATTAAATTCTGTACTCCTGTCATCAATATTCAAGCACTGTAGTAAATGTAGGTACTGGATTGATATAAATATTGTTTGGCTAAAAGATTATTACAATCGAAAAATCATTGTAACTGAAGATAATCATACGGCAAGGGGTTCAAGGTGAACCCCTTACATTTAACTCTTTGCGGGGGAGGATTTTTTTAACTATCCAAAATATTAGTATCGTCAGAGAACTAGATTATGCATCAACGACTTAAATAATAGGAGAAATAAATAATATATTCTGATCTATTGTTATGTTCTTCACACAAGGGTTGTGCATATTATTTCAGAAATTGCAAGCTTGTAATTTGATGATATATAGATCATCTATATATCATTATATCATCAAATTACAAGCTTGCAATTTCTGAAATAATATGCACAACCCTGTCTCTTATACACATCTAGATGTGTATAAGAGACAGGGTTGTGCATATTATTTCAGAAATTGCAAGCTTGTAATTTGATGATATATAGATCATCTATATATCATTATATCATCAAATTACAAGCTTGCAATTTCTGAAATAATATGCACAACCCTGTCTCTTATACACATCTAGATGTGTATAAGAGACAGGGTTGTGCATATTATTTCAGAAATTGCAAGCTTGTAATTTGATGATATATAGATCATCTATATATCATTATATCATCAAATTACAAGCTTGCAATTTCTGAAATAATATGCACAACCCTGTCTCTTATACACATCTAGATGTGTATAAGAGACAGGGTTGTGCATATTATTTCAGAAATTGCAAGCTTGTAATTTGATGATATATAGATCATCTATATATCATTATATCATCAAATTACAAGCTTGCAATTTCTGAAATAATATGCACAACCCTGTCTCTTATACACATCTAGATGTGTATAAGAGACAGGGTTGTGCATATTATTTCAGAAATTGCAAGCTTGTAATTTGATGATATATAGATCATCTATATATCATTATATCATCAAATTACAAGCTTGCAATTTCTGAAATAATATGCACAACCCTGTCTCTTATACACATCTAGATGTGTATAAGAGACAGGGTTGTGCATATTATTTCAGAAATTGCAAGCTTGTAATTTGATGATATATAGATCATCTATATATCATTATATCATCAAATTACAAGCTTGCAATTTCTGAAATAATATGCACAACCCTGTCTCTTATACACATCTAGATGTGTATAAGAGACAGGGTTGTGCATATTATTTCAGAAATTGCAAGCTTGTAATTTGATGATATATAGATCATCTATATATCATTATATCATCAAATTACAAGCTTGCAATTTCTGAAATAATATGCACAACCCTGTCTCTTATACACATCTAGATGTGTATAAGAGACAGGGTTGTGCATATTATTTCAGAAATTGCAAGCTTGTAATTTGATGATATATAGATCATCTATATATCATTATATCATCAAATTACAAGCTTGCAATTTCTGAAATAATATGCACAACCCTGTCTCTTATACACATCTAGATGTGTATAAGAGACAGGGTTGTGCATATTATTTCAGAAATTGCAAGCTTGTAATTTGATGATATATAGATCATCTATATATCATTATATCATCAAATTACAAGCTTGCAATTTCTGAAATAATATGCACAACCCTGTCTCTTATACACATCTAGATGTGTATAAGAGACAGGGTTGTGCATATTATTTCAGAAATTGCAAGCTTGTAATTTGATGATATATAGATCATCTATATATCATTATATCATCAAATTACAAGCTTGCAATTTCTGAAATAATATGCACAACCCTTGTGTGAAAAATATAACAATAGATCAGAATATATTATTTATTTCTCCTATTATTTAAGTCGTTATATATATATCATGAAATTACAAGCTTGTAATTTCTGGAATAATATGCACAATCCTTGCGTGATCAGTATGTCGATATTCGTCCTCAAAGGATTNCCCCTTACATTTAACTCTTTGCGGGGGAGGATTTTTTTAACTATCCAAAATATTAGTATCGTCAGAGAACTAGATTATGCATCAACGACTTAAATAATAGGAGAAATAAATAATATATTCTGATCTATTGTTATGTTCTTCACACAAGGGTTGTGCATATTATTTCAGAAATTGCAAGCTTGTAATTTGATGATATATAGATCATCTATATATCATTATATCATCAAATTACAAGCTTGCAATTTCTGAAATAATATGCACAACCCTTGTGTGAAAAATATAACAATAGATCAGAATATATTATTTATTTCTCCTATTATTTAAGTCGTTATATATATATCATGAAATTACAAGCTTGTAATTTCTGGAATAATATGCACAATCCTTGCGTGATCAGTATGTCGATATTCGTCCTCAAAGGATTAAGTATTGAACAGTACAGTTTATATCTAGCTTTCTAAAGAGATTTAAGTCCTCTATTTACGTTTAATGCAGTTAGAATTTCTGTCATCATCGATGCACATTTCTGTCTTCTGTCTTGCTATGTATAGACACTGTCAATTAAGTCGAACCAAAGAAATCAGTACTGTTTAAATATTTGTCTGATGTTGCAGAGTTGAAACCCGAGAACGTGACGCCTGTAGGCAAACCCGAAGACGCGGAGAGGGTGGAAAGTGCGAGAAACGCTGAAGAAACTGTATCTACAAAAGTGCTAGAGCCTGTGAAGGAAGATCACGAAGTAGTCGAGGAACCTCAGGTACTATTGTTGAGTAATCTCTTTCTGTGAAGTATATATTTTCACGTGGTGTACTATTTCGAACAGGAGACAGCGGAAGAGACTACGCCAGAAGAAGTGAAGATGGACAGATACGAAGAACTGATCTCGTTAGAGAACTGCGACATTATACCGAATTCCGAGCCAATCGAATGTCCCGTATGCTTCGTTACATACGGTCCACGCGAAGGCGTGATATTAAGAGATTGCTTACACATGTTTTGCAGGTATGAAGATTACAAAATGTTCTGCTGCGACAGGAAGCAGTTAATAGCTCGAGCATTTTTTTCTAGGTCTTGTATTATCAATACAATTAGATACTGCGAAGAAGCAGAGGTGAAATGTCCTTACAGAGATTCGGAGTATACTTGCGAGTCGACTCTTCAGGAACGTGAAATCAAAGCTGTGAGTTTAGTATTAAAACAATTGCTGGATATCGTTATTATCAGAATGAGAGTATTGCAAATTATTTTCCCCTTTAAAAGATGTCTTCGAAGACAACTTCCTCGTCTTGTCGTTTTTATAATATAAAATTTTTAGATGTTATATTCCGTGTACGATGGTAGTTCTAGTGATAGACTGCAGATTTTTTAAACATTTGTGATAATAATTGATGAACGAGTTACTAAACGATAGAAATATTAGAAGAATTCGAAATATTGTTGCCTCCAGGCTGCGAATTTTATGCATTTCTGACAAAAATGACTAGATAATACACGAAACGAAGAAAAACATCAGAAGTAATAATAATTATTCGATCGTGTTATATTATGTTGTATAATACTGTTATTATTAACTTATAAAAATTATTAATCAAAGAAATACATGTCTACTTAGTGCAGACAATTTTTATTTTGCATAAAATCATTAAGGGATGAAATGAATTCAGATTTAGCACCTATCAGCACCTAACAGTATCTTGAAGAATTCTAAATCCACAATCGAATAATTATTACGTCATCCCCAAAAATTTGTTAACCCCAATTAGTATAGAAATTAAGCAAAAAGTGTAGTCAACATCTGATTCAAAATTCACACGTATGTTTAGCTTGTTGAACAAGAGGTTTACCAACAGCATCTGGCGAAGTCGATTGCCCAAGCAGAGAACAATGCTGGGAACAACGCGTTCCACTGTAAAACACCGGATTGTCCCGGTTGGTGCATCTACGACGACGACGTGAATAACTTCCTTTGTCCCGTATGTGGCGCAAACAATTGTCTCACCTGTCAGGTCAGGAACGAAAACGCGAATATCCGTTTCGCTAGCGATACTGCGATTCTAATCTGCGCCGATGGAAATCGTTAATTAATGCTCGCCTCGTAGGTAATACACGCTGGCAAAAATTGCAAGCAGTACCAGCTGCAACTAAGACTGTCCAAAGAAACCGATCAAGAGTCAAGGAGGACCGCTGCTATGCTCGAGGAAATGGTGGACAGAGGAGAAGCACTTGCTTGCCCAACGTGCGCGGTTGTGCTGATGAAGAAATGGGGATGCGACTGGTTACGATGCTCAATGTGCAAAACCGAGATATGTTGGGTCACGAGGGGGCCTCGTTGGGGACCAGGAGTAATTCATTTGTTGATCCGATAATGAATCGTGCAAATTTCTCGTTCTTCGATATTTCTCTATTGCAACGACTATAAGCAGATTTTTATACAAAAGAGAACCTTCCTGTATCCAGTTTTGTTCCTTTCTGAGTCAAGTCTCAGTAATAACACAAAATTGAACTTTCAAGGAAGGGATTTTACTGATGAGTATTCTATATTTCTAAAATATCTATATTTCTTCACGCTTGAATACATGTTTCGAAAAATCTAGACTTCATGCTTGAACACATGTTTCTAAAAATCTATGTTTCTTGCTTAAAAACTTGTTTCTAAAAATCCATGCTTCATACATAAATCTTAATTTACGTCGTGAAGCAACAAGTCATCTTCAATAACGCAAACTGTAAACCGACAATTTCTTCGGGATTATTTCTTAAGTGATCTAATATAATACAATCATCGAGAATCCTAGCAGCAGCTTTGCAATAAACGAAATGTCACACTAATAATTCAAACTTGGTCAAAATGACCGAAAGGAACAAGGTGTTCTTTGCGCCCCTTTATTAGTTTCCTCTCGAAGAAACAAATTTAAAGTATATCAAACTTTTGGTATCTCTTTGCTGAGAAATCCTAGTAGAAGATGATTCGAATCGACTAACTTGCACGGTTCTGAAAAAACGGAGAAATTTCGCCGATGGTTGATTGTTTCATTTCTTTATTGATCGCTTTTCTCGCATTCGCAGGGAAAAGGGGACACATCCGGAGGCTGTAGATGCGGGGAAAATGGAGTCAAGTGTCATCCTCGTTGCAATTACTGTCACTGAGGGGAAACCATCAAAAGATACAGTTACCGCGGCGACGCACAATAACAATGCACGCGATCGAAGAAACGACTGCCGACGACAACAAATTTGTTGTACACCTCCCTAACGAAGTGCTCGTGTATACGAATGAAATTGTCGATCAAAGCGTGGCGATGCCTTTGACGGCTGTTTAATGACGGGTTCGATAACCGATAAGAAAAAAATACTGATACCGATAAGTTACACGTATACGTTACACGCCGCTTGCTCAACCTTATCGCGGAACCGTCCTTTGTGGAAGAATCTAACGAAAATGCAACATTTCGAAAATTACCGATGCGGATACCTCGATTAATTCTAACGAATTCATTACTCGACCGCGCGTTCTATCCTAAAGGCTCGGGGGTAAATGAATCATTATACTTTACTTAAAGCTTCGTGTGAATGACAAATGCATAATAAATTATTGATACAAATAATTCTGCAATTATACAGGCACCGATTGCTCGTTCTCGTTCGGAGCTGACTCGTTTGTACCGATCTGTTTCAGTCGTGACACCAGTGTCGTCTGATGATGCGTGAGCTGCCGATTTAGTTGAACGCCGCCCGCATTCTGTAACACTTGAACCAGACCCAACTGCGCGGTTGTAATGTCCATTTTCCCGTATTTCAGAAAGTCGCCGTGGTTCATCACTTCGCCCTCCAATATTCCCCCTGCAACAAACGATCAGCTTTGAACCTGTTCGCGAAATAAAATGGCTAATATCTTAGCATTATTGTCATTTAACTTCAAAAACATCGCAAACGTTGACCAATTGAAACGATGGCCACGACCAAAGAAAAACCTCGAACGATCGTTCTATCATACGATTTCGACCAAAGAAACAAGAGAAGAAGCAACCCAATCATTTTCACATTATGAAACACCGAATTACTTAATCGTTTAGGGAAGAGTGTTTCACTTGAAGAAATTTCACACATCGACCAGAGAAACAAATGTGTCATTCGCAAGCATAATTACGCTATAAAAAAACTTCTATATTTCACTCACCCAGTGAGTACATTTGCGGGCACTTCTTCAGTATCTTCTCCAAAGCAGTCACGTTTATTTCAGGGCTGAATATATACGCAGTGTGTGCACTGATTATCGGGTCCATCTTCTTCATGCAATGCGAGTCCTCCATGGCCGCCCGAATTAATTTGGTGTTGTAAGTTTTGTAATACATGTTATGTTTTCGCAATGCAACCAACACGTCGAACCGATCGATCATCGTAATGCTGTTCACATGGATGAAGGCGACCATTCTCGACTTGTCGAACCAATTGCGGGCCTCCTTGGCTACGATTTTACCGTGGGGCCCGAGTTCGTTTGTCTTCGGGGCCATAGCAGCGGCGCATAGCTCAAGGATGTTTGCGTCCGCCTTGGGGTTAACGAAAAACGGTGCGAGCAGCTCGTTCAACACCTTGTTCTTGAAAAATATTTTCGGCTTCTTCAGGTTTATTTTCCCCCGGAAACGTTTCTGCTGGTACAGCAGCTGGTTCGGTGCTAACTGAAATGCTGAAACAGCGGGGACTGATTAGATTTATTGCCTCGCCACGGCCATCCATCGTTCGGCTAACGAAGATACCTACTGTAATATATTTTCCGGCTAGTTTCCACACTGTTTGCATCCGATGGCGCTCGGTTTAATCGGAAGATCGAATTACGAACGACGAACGGGGCGACTAGGGGGGCGGCATAGATACCTTTTATCGAGATGATTCCGGTTTCATTCAACTTACACACTGGAGTTCATGAGTGCATGTTTTCGATTTATTTTAGAAATAGATACATGATCGGTACGAATTTTGGGCGAGTACAAAAACATTGTATATATACAGAGTCGATTACTTTTTTTTCTGCAACGATATAAGGCACTTTGGAACAAATCATACATGCATACGCGTTTGTGTGTGTATATATATATATACTATATGGACGCAGCGTGCGATGTGTACTAAAAACATGTGTTTCTCTCTCTCTCTCTGTTGTGTGTGCGTGTGTTTGTATGTCTCTGTATGTGTGTACGCCTGTGTCCGCCGTGTAATTCCGTGTATGATACGTGTTTCTAGATGTACAATTACGTTTTATATGTATAACCGTGGGTGTTCCGCGTCTACGTTATAAATACCCATTTTTTTCTCTCATTCTCCTTAATTACTATGCAATATAATTGATTGTTCCGCTGCAATAGTTACTGGATTCGTGCCGGGCGTCTATACTGTCGCCAAAATTGAGCGATTTCCTATTCTTTCCTAACCGGAGCATCGACCGGATGCCACCTTTTTTTCTAGAACGCTTGTATCGATCATCTAAAGCTGAATTGAGAGAAGCCTGTTTCACGTCCCCCCGACTATTGGGGAAACCCTCGCGATCGTCCTTATAGTTATTGCTACCAGTGATCTCTCCCTGCACGTCGTCCACCAGCCAGTGCTTCCTCGGCGATGTGAACTTGTTGTTGCACCCGGGGATGGTGTAGACGTACTCAGACTGGGCCGGATCCACGGACTTCTCGTACCGTTTCAAATTGCTATCGCTGGTGCCGCCTTCATTGGCGCTCTTGCTTTTGTTTTTCTCGAAGCTCTCCTTGCCGGGTCGCCTCGTCTGGTCCTCGGACTCGGCCGATTGGTTCGCTGACTTTTGACTCGCCTGGTCCTGGCTCTTGCTGTCGCGACCTTCGCGCAGCTTCTTGTTCCTCTTGTAAGTGTCCGTGTTCTTTGCGTCCAGGGCGGCATGCCGCTTCTCCGACATACTCTGCCTGCCGAGGGCGTCCCTGGAGAACTTGTTGGAGGACGAGCTGCACTCCTCCAGCGACAACTGACTGTCGTACGTCGGGTCCCCGGAGTACTGGCTGTCCTTGTCGTCCGCGTTCCTCTTCGGGTCATTGCACTGGGCGTCGTTGGTGTCCTCCAACAATACTGGTTCCGCGCGGTCCTCGCGCCCTCCTACCGTGATCTTCTTCACGTTGCTGATCGGCTCTATCCACGTTTTGTTGGTCGCGATGCAGTAGCTCTCGTTTCTCAGACTATTTTTATTATACTGTTCCGTTAATCTATCTATGACCGGGTTCCACGGAGACGCGGTTACGCAGGACAACAGCCCCCCATTGTCTAAGATGTCCGACTGCGAGTTCAAGTTGTTCTTCTCCTTCACCCTGCCCTCGGTCGCCTTCGTGTTGTCCGATATGTATACGCTGTTCGCCGATTCTAATTTACAGTGGTAAGACAGGTTTTCCGGGAGATTCTTCTCATTCGCGTCGTAGGAGGATATCCTCCTGGCTATGGTCAGCGTAATTACGCCTGTTACCGAACTATTCGTATTGAGCATCGCCCTCCTGAGGGTCTCCATCGCGTCGGAATTCGATAACCCTAGCAGAGACACCCCATTTACGTTGAGCAACTGGTCGTTGGTCCTTAATCGACCATCCCGGGAAGCTGCGCCCCCATGGATCACGCTCTTTATGAAAATACCTAAATCCATGTTGGTGTTCTCATCCGTGTTCGTCGTTTTCCCTTTCACGCTCACGCCTAAACCAGCCTTCTCTGAATCGTGCACTGGTATGTCCAAGGTAAGAATCATACGATTTTTCCGGGGCGACAGGACGATGTCCTCCGATGATTTCACGGGTTTAAAGGCGCACTTCTCGTAGCTGCGGCTGCCGATCTTTTCGTGCACCTCGGCGTTCTTCTTTATCGGCGATACGTTCAATGTGTTCCAATATTTCGAATTGTCCGTGGTCTCGGTCGTTTGGCTGGTAGATGTCGCGTTCGAATGAGAGTCTGGAGCACTGGAGGAAATTTCTTCCTGACGAGAGACCACCATTCTCACCTTGCCTCCCGGTGAAATGCTTCTGAGGAGCGAGACCACCTCGGCCTGACTTTTACCGGTCATTTCTTTGTTGTTTACTTCGAGCAGCCTGTCGCCCGGCCTTAATCTACCGTCTTCGACTGCAGCACCTTTTGGTAGAATATTTTTAATGTATATAGGGCAATGTCCTCCCGCAGGGTTGTCGCGCGTCGTTACGCTGAACCCCAGCCCGTTGCTGCCTTTTGTTAATTCTATTTCGATCATGCGACCGATTTTCCGCGTGTTCGCAGTTTGTAGTAAATTATAATTGCTGCATTGAATTTTTTTCACGTTGTCGTCCGTTTCTGCTTTCTCCGACCCTCCGCTGTTATTGCCATGACTCTTGTGCAATGATTTATCGCTGTGACTGCGTAGCTGTTTGTGCTTCACCACGGATATCTTAAGACAGGGCTCGGTCATGCATGTTCGAAAAATCTCTTGCACTTTGGAAAACGGTATATGCAGTAAATTATGACCATTTATCTTGATGATCTTATCGTGCAAATCAATCTGTCCATCTCTGGCAATTCTGCCATTAGGCTCGATACCTTCCACCCTGAGCCCTTGATCGTTGCCCAGAAGATCATAACATGGCACCACGTGAAGTCCCAATGGACCTGCCTCGTTCTTTATCACGATCTCTCGAATTTCACCCTGATCTGCAAGATCTATATTGGCATTCGCATAGTCAAACAACGCTTTGGCATCTTGTCCCAGGGGTTCTCTGCGACGAGACTCTCTGGGGAGGGATTGAGCAGAATATGTGGCTAAACATGGTTCTCTAGTGGACAGTGCATGCATAGAGAATCTTTTAGTGCTTTCTCTTTTAATACTACTGCTAGGTATAGAGGAATGTGTGTCTATCGCATAAGATAACTCTTTGCCATCCGAATGAAAGAAGTCGGGGCTGTTGGTGCCGACAGAACTGGCCCCATCACCACCGGCATGCGTTGTGTCTGTACTCACGAAATGAGCAACAATCTGCTCTCTGTCGTCAGCCACATCGCATAACCTATCATCTGGATCCAGCAGGCCGCCTCCAGTCAGCGAGGACAGGCTGTTGATAGTTAGTCCATTATCATTTTTGCCTGTGGCCTTTTTGTACCTCAGGATAGCCTCGTGCATCAAATCTTTGACCAGTAGGGTTCCATCCCCGCACGGAACCACCACTCTAACGTTGTCGAAGCACACAGTTACCTTCATGCTCGCTCCAATTTCATATTATCGCGTTATCCATTCACCTACTCGTATCGATCAATACCATACGTTTCCAAATGTTTCCGGTGTTGGTGGTGACTTACTGCAAAATAGAACGTAGGTATTGCAAGGTGTACGAGCCCGAAATATTTTTCTCGTATAATACGATTATCTTCTATTATCAGTCCCGTTCTTCCATATTCCGATAATGAATCACCGACATAGTGCACTGACCACTCTAATCTCGTTAGCGTCGACTATTCTCGCTTAAAAACTAGGCGCGCACAAGAAAATCAAGTGAACATACTCGAAGCAATATACTTTGTCACAACTGATAAGGCGGACGCGTACGCCCAACTTTATCACAACATCAAATATGCGGAACAGACGCACTCGCCATTACCACATTTAGTTCCACTATTCCGTGAGTCAAGATAAACGAAATAAGGAACATACTGGGAAAAACAGTGTGACCAACAGAACACCATCCTCCACACAAGAATACAATTCAATGAATCAGGAATTAAATAGATAACACTCACCTTTCTTTGCAAACTGTGCCATCGTTTAGCAACAATATCTTCCAACGAAAGGCAACAATTGATTCACACGGTACTTCACTAACTCTCAGCTCACTTCTCACAGAACTTATTTGTACACTAACCTCACAGAAATGGTTCGTTCCCGTTGGTCAGTCCAACGGAAAACGAGGAACATGGCGATGCTAACAGTGTGACCAACGGAATAGCTTCATAAACCGCTCTCGTCTTATGAATACAATCTCACTATAATAAATGATGAATTATATAAATAATACTTACTCTTTTGTACTAATTGTGCCATTGTTTGGTCACGCTATCCTCCAGCAACAGGCAACAATTAATTCACGCTAAATTTCACCCAGTACTCGACTTCTAACTCACAGTCCTTATTTACACAATAACCTCACTAAAATGGTTCGTTTCCGATGGTTCTTGTTTGGCCTTCAGACTTAAAGGCATGCTTACAACGAAGTAAATCTCCATCGATTTAACAACGAAACTTATCACTATTGGTACTCAAGAAATATGCAATATACACGCATAATTCTGATCTGTAGCTTGTATTAATTAAACTCACATTTTTAGGCATAACTATATATGATAACTCTCACTACACACACTTTTCTATACACTGAACTAACTTAAAAAATAAATAAATTGTTCTAGTATGTTTCATGATCCGTTCCACCGATACAGTCCAAATGTTACCTACCCAAACCTTGAGCAGATTTTGAAACGTCAAGTTCCACAAAAAATTTCTAGTGATTAAACTGCTTTTTCATTACGTCATTATCAACTGATATTAGAAAAGTACATAAATATTACAGAACTTTTTGAAAAAAAACATGAAGTGGTTCGAAGGTAGTATTAACGAGGCTGTGGCAACATCGAAATCCAGGAAAGCGATTTTCGTCGTTTTTGTGGAAGGTGTGTATTTATATTGTTAGGTTAGGCTGTTATTCAGCCTGGTAGTACATTTTTCTAATAAAAACCAACTTTTGGCGTCGGCCGTGGCGATATATATGCAATCGCGTTTAATATTGCGTCGAATCCAGATATATTTTCATTTCACAAGCCTTATTGCAACATATTTGTTTCAGGCAAGGATGACACATCTGTGGAAGTTGCTGCAGCAATCAATGACACACAGGTTTCTTCCAAATTGGAACAGGATGACTTTGTAGCAATTCGTTTGGAGAGTGGAACTGAAAACTGCAGACATTTTGCCCAGATTTGTATCCTCTGTTTGTAATTAATCTACCCAATTGTTAACTTGACCTTTGAATTATTTTCCTTAATATATTTCTTAAGATCAATTGGTGCCTGTACCATCTGTATTCTTTATTGGTACGAATGGCTCACCATTGGAGATTGTTGCTGGCACAACAACAGCCAATGACTTACAAACAAAGATTGAAACAGTCCTAACTAAAGCAGGAAAAAATAAAACTTCTAATTTGTCCTCTAGTTTGATAGATGCTGAGAAAAAGGCCACTGCTAGCGGCATTACTATTAATACTCCTAGTACAAGTTCTAAACCTGCTACAAATTTAGAATGTGATAGCACAATAAATTCCAATACGGATGTGTCCTTGAAACAGGAAACGGTAGAAACAAAAGTTGCTGAAGAAACAAAAGCAACAAAAGTAGAAAACGAGAGTAGCAATGTGGCAACAGAAAATGCAAATGTGGAATCATCTACTGTTGACAAATCCAAGAATGTTCCATCAGAAACCAGCGAGCCACAGGAAGCAAGCACCAAAACATTAGCAGCAGAGGTATATTTAATCCGCCGTGTTCTCGAGGTCGCATAATTTTATCGCATTAAAGTATTGCTCCGATTTTAGGAAAATGTGAAGAAAGCATCACCGGTGATAGATATACAACCAAGAAATCTGGTTCAGGACGAAGAGAGGAAGGAAAAGCTGCGAGAATTAGAGTGCCGCAAGGATTTCGAAATGAGACAAGCCCGCGAAGAAAGGTTACGAGAGAAAGCACAAGACGCGGCAGCTCGGGAGAAAGTCCGACAACAAATCGCTCAGGACAAATTAGAACGGAAACAGAAAGAACGCGATATGCAGGTTGGTAACCCCATTTTCTTTTTCTTTTTCTTTTCCGGCAATGCTTGAATCGCATGTCTGTCTTTGAACAAAATACATGTTTGTTCAATGCAGCAACAGATGCAGAAGCAACCGGACCAGGAAGCATCGAAACCAGTCGCGTCGGTTGCAAGCAAAGCAACCGTGACTAGAATTCAGTTCAGACTGCCATCCGGTAATCCTCATATGGGACAATTCGAATCGTCGGATACTTTGCGCGATTTGCGTAACTATGTTATCCAGAACATTGATTTGCCTTTCCATCAGTTCGCGATGTCGATCTCGTTCCCCAGAAGAGAATTAACGGCTGAGGAGAACGATAAGACCCTTTTGGAACTGGAACTGGTCCCTACAGCCGTTGTTTTAATCCTACCGTTGAAAAATGTAATTGTAACATTAATTGTTGAAATAATATCTCGTGCCTCCCTCCTGGATAGTCCATTCATTCGAGTTTATGATTTCAGTCCGGTGCAACGACGGCCGTAACATCGACGCAAGACGTTGGTTTCTTTTCACGAATCATGTGGACTGTTTTCGCGCCTATCATGCACGTTTACAATTATCTGATGGGTTACTTCTCGGGTGGTAATCAAAGCAGACAGAGACCAGGCAGCCCCGAAAACAACGACACGGCGGAAAGTTCCGACGGTACTTTCATGCCGAACCTTCAAAATGTTGCCAACTCGTCCGGGTAGGTCTCACATTTACGAAGGCGTTTCTTTATCAGTCGAACCGACGGCTCATTACAATGTTATTTGTGGTATTTAGTTTGGTCAGAAGATATTTGGGTGATCAAGGGGGGACAACCATCAAAACGGAGGGGAATATACATAGACTACATTCAGGTGGGGATGATAATGATGAGAATAACACATGGAACGGTAACTCGACGCAACAAATGTAGCTTCTTCTATCATCGAGCGTTTCAAGTTCCAGTGGGTTCAGTTGGTTCATTAATTAGAATGTCCAACAGGTTTAATTAAAAATATATTTTGTTAATCTTTTACACTTTCTCCTCGATCCCCCCCCATTCTTTGCACCATAAATCTAATATTTCCACGGCTACGATCACGGTAGCACAGAGCAATGAAACTTGTTCTCGATTCACGTGAAACATTCTCTCGAGAAATATTTGGTGCTTCACCCATCGTTAAAGCTCTATTAATTTATTATTCTAATCGCAAGTAATAGGCGGACCAAACACAGTTGTCCGGTTGCGTTGCGACTGGTGCATCGCTTCACGACATTTACGCATACGTATATCCCTATAATGATAGTACGAGTGTCAAAGTGTCTCAAAGATTTTTAATTTATCTCTCACGATTCTCTTTAAACAAATTATGTTATTAATCTACTCTAACTAACGACGCAACTATGCGTTCACGGATGGTAACACGGATACGCGTTAAGCATAGTAACTACATTATGTTTTATTGTATGATCGAAGGCAAGATGCACTAATTAGAGGGCCTTTATTCTGTTAATATATAAATAAAGATATACAAATCAACTTTGTGTCAGAATTGTCGTTCCATCACCACCCTGTCAACGCCGACATCCTCCAGCTCCGCCGACATCTTTAATGTCGACAAACTTCAATTTCCAAAATGGTAGATTCATTCGTGAACTAAATTGCTCAATAATTCGTCGGAATTTAAATACTTCAAAACATACTACTTTGCCTTTAAGATTTTCTGCATATTTTTGTCGAGAAATAGCAAAATCGCTATAATTTTCTATATTCTCGGACAATTAAGTTCATTCAAGTTTGCGGCATAAAAATATCCGCTATAACAATGATGTCAAATGACTACAATGTTGTTAAACATCGTAGAAAATTGTTGATATTCATATGAAAGACGAAGACACCTCCGAACGGTCATTTTTATGATTCGAAGCTAATTATGTAAACATTATGTAAATATCGCAATCGAAATCCTATCCCTTTTGAATACAAATCGAAATTCGCGTATTCGACTACTTATGAGTACAGGATTGCGAAGATGAAAATGGAGGAAAGCTGTATTCGCTAGCTAAAACAATCTTCATTGTAAAAATAAAATAAAAATATAATTAATAGCTATTAATTTATACGTAGACTAATAAGTTCGTAGTTAACAGACGGACCATCGCACCGCCGAAGTAAGATAACACGCGACGGATTGTGACAACGGTGCGAACACAGAATCGAGACTTTTGGTCTGACGAAACGCGACTCCAAAAATATGTTCAAGGCGAGGGGAAACCACTGGCAGGGGAAGTCCAGGGGTAATGCGTCTGAATCGGCTTGTTTTGCGGTTGACACGTCCAGAGGAACCGATAATTTAGAGGGTCTCGCTACCAGGCGAGACCTGTCGATCGGTCCACCAATTAAGCGTGAAATTGACAAACATTTTGGCCGCCATGTTCCACCAAGGGTCTCGGCTTTCTGGCAACATAACATATCGCAGAACCTGCGATAGGAGTGTCGTCTGGGTAACGTGATCCCAGGGACACACCTACCCGGTCCTTTCGACAACTCGACGCTGTTTCCCGATGACGTTCCACCGAAAACTGCAGGATCGAATGCCGGCCGTTTCACAACGTTCCTTCGACAGCTGATATTTACAGTCCGGTTAAAAACAGCGGGCTTTTCCATGCATCAGCCCGGACGCGCCACAAATCAATTTTAATTAGATCCTGCCCGGCGAAGAATTGTCACCGGCGAACGAATTCATGCCTGATTTATACGGAAGAATCGCGACTTGGCCCCGCCGCCGCTTGTTTCATACAAATTTCTGCGGTGTAGCCGTTGGTTCGCATAATCGCAGCCAAGTTCCACATCTGTCGACAGTTCTTGTATCACTCTGTCATCCCCATCATCGTCGTGTTAATACAGGCGATTGTGCGCCTAATAATCTCATTAAAGTTACGGCTGATTGCGCGCCGGCCGCGCTCGATCTGACAAACTTGTCCGCGCGTCACCGTTTTATATGAATCCATAGGAATCCAACCGACGCGAACCGTTGTGGCTAAGATCTAATAATACATCCGGGCTATTCAGTTTTTCATCATGCTCGTCTTGTTCTGGACGAGTATCCGAAATATTCGCCGATATCCTGCGCCCGCGATTCAGAAGGCTCCCATGGCGACACCATAGATCCTTATCCCATCGAATAGATCAACTGGAACGGCTAGAGACTGCAGTGATATAGTTTATTTCAATGTTCGTTACAATGAAACGAAATAATTGAGGATAGCGATGAACCTAAGCCCTTCGTGAAAGAATATGTATTTTATACGTATTTTCGGGATAGCATAGTTTTTTCTTCTCCGTTCATATTGGTGCGTGGAATTCGTTCGTTGAAGTTTTGTACAGCATTGTGTATTTCATAATTATGTTTCGGCGAGTGTCAACGGTGGAACTCAGGTGACATCAATACATCCTGCATCAACGCTGTTAGACCCTTGTTCCGATAAGATCTAAACACTTAAAGCGCTTCCGCCTTTCCTATTTAAGATCGATTACTGGACTATTCGCAGTAAACTGCAGTGATCTATAGAGTCTATTAGAATTGTACAACACCGATAACCGATAATTCCGACGGAAATGTAACATAAACCCTTATATCCGCGGTTCCCCGCTCAATTATTAAATAGCGTTTCATGGCGGTGACAGAAATTTATGGACACCTCATTACCACCGTTTAGTGACTGCTACCGTCGCGCTGTACGAGATCATTAGGGGCTCCTTCCAGAAACGCACGTGCTTGCCAAGAACCGCCCCGGTCGGCCGCCGATTGGCCCAGCCGCGGATGACGTCGTGAGCACGTGGCTTTTCGACACCGCCTCGAAGAAGGAAGAATTTGACTTCGCTGCCAAAAAAAATATTGTTGGACATCGCGAGCAACCCCGACAAACAGTCGCTGCTTTCATCTCTAATCCCGTGAACGGACCGCAGGGTGGCTTATCGATGCATCGAATCGTCCCCGATGAAGACCGTTAGGTTCCCGATGACGGCGCACGAAAGTGCCACTGATCTCTCGTAAAAGAAACTCGCTGATTAAGTGTTTGTGGGTCCGTGGTGATGGCCATAGTGCGCGAGCTGTGCAATGTGTAAAGAAACGCATGAACTATCATGCCAGAGTTGTTGAAACCGTTCAAATAATTGCTCGGTGAACTTTCGAGATATACCAAAGTCGGTGAATGTTGAACGATAGAAGAGAATTTAGAATGTCGGAGGAACGCGCGAAAGCTCCGGAAACGGCGAGGGAATCGACGGAGTTGATGGAGAATCCGAAAGTATGCTCGTTCAGTATCGAAAGCCTTTTAGCGCCAGCCAAGAAGAGAACGGAAGAGGAGAGGCGTGTGCCGATGCAGACCGAGGTGTATCTGCATGGTCATGAGTGTAAGTAGTTTCGGAACAAGGTATTTCAATTGCCGATAAACAAATGAATTCGAAGTTATGCTGATTGTTTCAAGTAGCGAACGACTCGGATGGTCGAAAGCTGGTGGCGCCGGATTCGTCCATGATTATGGTCGAGGATATCGAATTCGACGATGCCGATATGGTCTGCTCCACATCGCCCGAACCGGAAATGTGCTACGGTAAGTGTAGATGCAATTTTGCAACGGATTCGCACGGACACGATGTTAACGTCGATTTCAGTAGACGAGAAGCTTTCGCAGAATGTTGCTCTTTGTCCGTAAACGTTTTAACATATTGAAGCAACGGTGTTCCTGATCGCGGTGACGGACAGCATTTTGCAAGTCTCGGATTGCCAGGACTTGAATAATACAAGTGTTCGACACCTGTGTTTGCTTTAGCAAATGATTTAGCTAACAAAGGCACACGGCCAGGGAGCTCGAGCATATATAATCGCGGAAAACTTTTCTGTTCCGATTGAACAAACATCGAAACGATTTCATTAAAAACCTGCTACAGATGCGTCGAGGAGTATTTAAAATATTTACATTTCTCAAGATCATTCGCATGCTCGTTGCAAAACATCTCCATTCAGCATCGCGTATTCGGTCTTTGAACGCCCTAACCGACCCTTTCATCGCGTTCTAAACGGCCGAACGATCAAGACCAGCGATTATTTATCACTGTTTAAAAGCACGATTTAAATGCATCGCAAAACCGGAAACGATGCTTTATCTCGAAACGAGTGCGTCGACAAGGATCGCTTTGAGCCCGCGGAAACCGCGGTTATTACACACTACGTAATAAAGAGTAATTGTTTCCACTTAATTCGGATATTGTTACCGGCCTGAAAGGGAGTAATTGTTACAGAATCCAGCCGGCTCCCTCGTGTGGTAACGAATTCGTAAGTTTGCGCGGAGGACCGTTGCCCGTGAGTTTGATCCATTACTTCCTGCAGGGTCCACGCCCACTCAGTGTTCCTGCTTCTCGTCCACTATTTATCTGTCTCCTGCTAATTCTGCCATGCGCCCGTTCGGTCGCATCTTGCACTTTCCTGCAGTCGATCCTGCTCTTTGATCGCCGATCTTCATTCTTCGCGGCCAAACTTGCAAAGCAATTCCAATTCGTCGACCAACACTTTTTGTCCAACGATAAATAAATAGTATCCTAATTTTTATTGTCCTCTCTCCTTGGATAACGAAGTGTCAGACTGAAATCTTCAAAATCCTTATGGTCGGAAGATGCTAATCAACAAACTGCAGATCTTCGGGCAAAATAAAAATTGTCTAAGTTAGTTGTACGAACTATAATCCAGAAGAAAGTACTTTCCTGCTTAATAATTGCAACAAGTTTAAAACAATGTAACAATATCCGTAGGTACATCAAATGTCTTACAGTTTCGTATTCGATCTATTCATTTCTGTCGTAAATGCACATAATCCGTAGCCCACTAATGAAATACAGACATTTCTGAAATATTTTCCAATTCATCCTTCGCGGATCAGCAATTTTCACACGTAGACAGCTAACATAATATTCCAATGTTGTTTGTCTACTACAAAAATTCACAACGATCGTTTCGAGTCTCGAGCTTGCGGCTGGAAAATCCGCGCGTATTCGAGGATAATGAAGTGGTAGGATCTGGTAGGATCACCAGAGGCCAAAGTCCCAGTGAATTGTTAGCAGGCATGATAAATGATAAGACATGCCGCGCTGGGCTTAAATTAGCAACAAAGTGTAGCAAAGTTTCTGATTCGCGAAAACGAGCGAAGGCTAACGCAACTCGCGCGGCTGATGAGTTATTATTGACGACCACGGGCAACTTAATCCCGTTTGACCGGAAGGATTTAAGTTTCGCGACGACTAATTTCTACCGAGGATCAGCGGCACACGTGATTTACGCAGCATAATGGTCGGCGCGATAAATCCGAGATCTAAGGAAAAGACAATTCCCGTTTGCGCTGCGTGCCCGGGCCGAGGCTGAGATATGTGGGACGTCGCGTCCAACTACAAAGCCGTCAACGCGAAGCGTAAATCTTTGCGAGAGCAGCCTCGCGGACGAGTAAAATCGTCCGAAAGCTGCTCCCCTTTCAAACGGGTTCGTCTTTCTCGTATCTAATGGCTCGTATGTTCTGCGTATGATAGCGTTGATCGCGGCCGATACAAATTCCTACACGGATCCGCTACGTTGGATCCATACCTCATCGAAATCCCGTTGAGCCTTTATCGAGTCTGGTTTCTGGTTTTAGATATTCCGTTGAAGTCTCTTCTTAAGGACGATAACAAAAGGCCGGGCTATTTATCTCACCTCGGGCAACCGTTTGACCAATCGAGCCGGCTCGCGCACGAATTAATTATCCCGCCGGTTGGCCGGCCAGCGCGCGAGTGCTCGTGCAACGGCGAACGAATGAAAATTAGCCACGCTTTATCGCGCATTTCTACTCGTGCTCGCGCCATTCATCACCGAATAATTAGGAGACAAGTTCACCGCGGCTCGCGGCAATTAGGTAAACTAGAGGGCGTGGTATTCTATTTCGGCGTCGCTCGCGGTGCCCCATCCTCGGCGCGTTCGCGCGCCTCCGGATCCTCTTTTTGCGGCTGGTCTTCTCTCTTCTCTAACCCTTTCTTTCCTCTTCGCGGAGCTCGTTCGTCAATGCAACCGAGTCAGAAAGTCGACGACAAATGGGCCGCGCGAGAAGAACGGTCGCACGAAAATATTTTCCTCTTCCGTCCGCTTCCGGCTAAGAATGCGAGGATCCTCGCCTCCGTCCGACGCTTTTGTAACCCCTAAACGGAAACCCATCTCGAATTCCACCGTGTCCCGATGGGAACGCGGCGTGGCGCGATTTTTCCGCCGTAATTTACACACCGTGAACGGTTTATGGATCGCGGCCGAGACGCGAACATTTGCAATTTGTAAAACAATTTGATATTATTATCCGGCTGTACTGATATTTAGGCTTCCCGGTTGGAATCTATCCTGACTTTCCACGTACGCGAGAAGCCTGCACGCCGAGTGAATTAGAGGCGGTACCGTTTTAGCCGACGACTCGGTAGTACGGGCTGAAGGGAAGTCACGAAAAACGCGCGAGAAACGCGACAATTACGTCGCCATCTGACAATTAGTAGCCGGTAAACGACACTCCGCGGCCCCTGTAACCGCGCCGCAAATACTTTTATCGGGATATTTATTGCACTTCCAACTGCGAGGGTCGCTCCGCTCGATCCATTCTACCCGGGGACAAGGAAGCTTTAGTCAACTATCAGTGCTAAAATAATCGGTACCCGAATTCGATCGGAATCGCGTCGATGAACAGGTTCGATTTACAATTTCATTAGGAAAATACTTCGCAACTTAAGAAGCAGGTGTTCTTCGAGAATCGTTTTTGCACGATCCTTGCGAGTAAATCGATTTATTGTTCACTATAGTTATTGTACATATATTGGGAAGTCATTTTTTAGCCACATCGATCCTTTCATTTCTTGTATACCGAAGTGTGCAAAATCGAGCAATACACAGAATCGACGATTCTGAAGCAGCGTGCATGTAGACTTGACTGAAAAATGTTGTGCACACTCTACGGTAAACGCGCAGTGATTAGAATAATCGATTGATTTACTTGCAGCGTTTGTTTGAGAAAAATTCCCGAAGAGGGCCTTTAAATAACACGAAGTGTTCGGAGTGTTCGTTTAATTCCGTTCGAATGCAACGTCGAATCAACCACGTCGAAGAAGGGTTAATAGCGTTGAAAGTGCGTGGAAATATTCGTTCCATTCTTCAAAACATTGAGACGCCGTGGAGTATTAAAACGGGGCGTCGAACGCGAGGTTTACGACGCGGATGGCATCGCTGTGTCGCAAGTATCTTCCTTTTTTTTTGGTCCCCGAAGTAGCAGACATATATCCAACGGCGGAGCGGCGTGGTGCCACGGTTTTTCGTCGGATGACGAATGGGCAGATAATTAGAAGATGATCCCCGCTGCTTAGAGCGCGGCCCTGTTACCAGTCGACTAAAAGAGACCCCGAAGACATTCCTCATGGGCGAGGCGCGACGTCTTGTACGACCGTCTTGTACAACCCGGGATAAATATAAATATAAACAACATCGACGGGCAAAAAGTCCCGAGATTGATGAGGAGGAAAATTTCGTGGGGGTAATTGGGCCTCGCCGTGGCTCTAAAGGAGTCGCTGATGTCGCGGCACCCCGCTCGATCACGTTTCAAAGCAATTAAAACGGAAACAGGCCCGTCGGGGTGTATAAAACGACGCGAAGCGATTAATGGCGGCCTTTTGTCAGCGCGTGGGTTGCCGTTGCGCCGATTGCGATGTTAAGTTCACGACAATTACCGATTCAATCTATTTTCGACGACACGCGCTGATTGGATTCGTTTCATTACGATCGTGAATTAATTGTTGACAAAGTAACGCAGACTTATCAAAAGGCGAATGCTGCCTCTAATATGCTATTTTATGATCAATTAGTAATTCCTGTTAATAAACCTCTACACTAAATAATATGAAGCTTATGCTTTTCTTTTACCACTTCTTAATTATTCTTTAAAAGAATGCATCTGTTCCAGTAATTAAACGTTCGTGGAAGGAGAACACAATTTTAGAAATTTCAATCTGGATCTGCAAAATATGTATGTCCAACTAGATATTACGTGGAAAATGATTACGTACGCAACGCTATTTGAGATCGTACTGTAGGGATTTTCCGAGTATGAAAAGCAGAATGATCGAGAGCGAGCGTCGTAAAATACTGAATGAATGGGACGGATGTCTGCAGAGTCTGTGAGCGACTTCGAGTGATCTGAGTTTATTGTTTAGGTTCCTCGAAGTCCTGCATAACCGAAAGATAGAGCATGAATAAGAGACAGGGAGAGAGAGAGAGAGAGAGAGAGAGAGAGAGAGAATAATAAAATAATGTAAGCGACAGAAAGAAGTAAAATTTGTAAGGGTGGAAGAGCTAAACAGAAAGATCGGGACATTCTGAGCAGAGCCGTGATCGAATGAATTTGTACGTTGCCATATTCGTCGTTGCTTTGTAGAGTCTTGCGTTGTTAAAAAACTGTTCTGTGTCGTTCATTTCACCACGGAGTCTCGTAGGATTTTCTAAAGTAAAATAAAGTGCTGTCTCCTTATTAGCGAGAACTCTTCGATCATACAACGATGCAAAGGAGGAGGCTCGTAACTGTTTATCGCATCATCTCCGACCTAATCTTTTTGCAGAAGCGTGCACCAGCAGCAGCGGTGCCAACTCGACGACAGGTGCGGATAGGGATAGTCAAGAAAAAAGTGGCAGCGCGATTAGCGATGACGAGAGGAAGAAGAGGCCCCGCACGGCGTTCACGGCCGCGCAGATTAAGTCGTTGGAGGCGGAATTCGAGAGGAACAAATACCTGAGCGTGGCGAAGAGACTGCAGCTGAGCAAGACCCTGAAGCTCACCGAAACTCAGGTATCCATTGCATAATAACCGCGATCGTTATTCATCGCGTATAAACGCGCCGTTGAAAGCCGACGAGTGCGCTGTCAGTTCCAAAGAGAAAAATAGCCCTTGTCGCGCACGGCGTCCCGCGATACAAGTTAATCAAACGCGCCATGATTCACTCGACATCCTGCGCGTCTTAATAGATGGAACAGCTCTAGCCGAGATTCTGCCGATGATTAAAAGGAAACACGTTCCGCGGAAGTCGCCTCGAACAAGACGCACCGCATACAATAAATCGCGATAATGTCCGCCGCGACTTCCGCAGGCCACCTGAAATAGTTTAGGTTCCCTGTGTCCCCCCTCGACCAGTTCCGTCGAATCAACCGACCCCCTGAGTTATGAGTTCGAAGGACACCATATGTGCTGGCGCCGCGCCGGATCATGGCGCCATGGGGGGAAGATCGCCCTTTAGGACCAATTAGCACTTGCACGCCCTTTCTTCTCGCGCGCTGGCCAACACAGAGCAAAACCGTCGCGTCTTCGTTTCGTGGAAACGTTTAATTGATCTCTCCCGAATGGATTAACTTCTGCTTAGAAACCCGATCGGTTTTGCGGAACTGGTGCCAAATTCGAAACCGAAGCCTCTCGGGAACACTATGAAATGTTCGTTAAAAATTCCTAGACGCACGGACCGTCTTACGACACTCGTAAAGTTTGTTATAAATCATCTGAGATTTATTGACGAAGCTTAGCAAACAGGGGGAAATTGCTCGTCGCAGGATGCGTATTCTTTCTAAGAACGGTGCGCGTTTCTTCGCGACATCTAATTGCGGACAAGAGTTAACACAAATCTGACTGTGTAGCGATGAAGGGCAGCTTTTCAGTTGCGTGCAGGTGCAACTTGAGAAAGGTGTGAATCTATTACAACCCCTTCAGAAATATCCTTCCGCGAACGGTACAATTGAATTTCGTTTCCAGTTTTGTGCCACAGTCTTGTTTTTCACAGCTTTGGCCGGTTGCTAATATTACACCGCCTCGGTACATGGCAGGTTCAGTGGATACGCTTAAGTAATCCCTGCGTTAACTACACAAACTTGTCAGGTAGATCGAGCCAGTTACATAATTTTCCCGTTCACTTTGTAGCGGGGGTCGTCGCGCTCTAAACTAATTAATTTACGATAATGGGCCGGATATTTTCTCGTTCAGCGGACCTGCGATTGGCTGGCCAGCAATGTTGCGAGTCGCAATAATTGCCAGGACCGTAGAAATATCGTGCCGCACAGCGAACGAGGCAGATAATTATCTTCGCGATCACGGCGAAAGGGAGGACGATCAGAGGACGGATCAGAGGGAAGAAGGAGACGTGTCGTCCCCGCAGACATAACTGTCACAATATTTCTCGTAGTTAACGAGCCAGCTCTGGGAGTCCCCTTCTTCTTGGTGTTCCTCCGATTCGTCCGTACGTTCCAGCATGCCACAAGAACCAAACGTCCCAGACGACGACGGATGCTGCGAGGCGTCGGACCGAAGAGGCGTCGATTTTTTAATTAGGATATATTACCGCTTGAATGCCACGGATCCGGTCTGCCCTTCGAACAATTCGGGGATGCTTTTTTCCCGCGTTGCGTCACGTGTTCACTTCTTTCTTCACACGAAACACTCAAAGTCACTTTATGCTCGCCAGAAGATTTCTTGATGCAGAAGTTTCGAGATAGTTTATCAGAAGACTTTTCTAACACGAAAGCACGAATTCATGCTAAGGGTTGTTCAGATAGTTGGGTACTGAGCTTTGCAAGTGCCTCGGTAGCGCAGTAGGCAGCGCGTAAGTCTCATAATCTTAAGGTCGTGAGTTCGATCCTCACCCGGGGCAATTATTTTTGGAGTCCAAACACTGAAACTATTGAATTTCATACGTAAACATCTACCATCTGATTACTATCTTGCACACTTATCATTCTCGCTTAATTTTGCTGTTTCATGTCCGCTAAATTTAATATACTCGATGCTAATCGCTATATTTTTCTTTGCTGTCATATTTGTCTGGAAATATTCTGTACGTGATCTGCATTGTACAACTATTTCTCATATTGTATTATTTATTTATTTATTCATTATTGTAATACATTCTGTTGAACAACTATGCACTAAATGCTAAGTTCAATTGCCTTTACATTAAGTCTGTAATAACAATAAGCTTCTTTGTTTCCTTATTCCTTAAGCAGCCTGTCTTTTTCACAGATAAAGATTTGGTTTCAAAACAGACGCACAAAGTGGAAAAGGAAGTATACCAACGATGTGGAGTTGCTAGCGCAACAGTATTACTCCAGTTTGGGGATTCCTGCCCCGCGACCAATTTTTGTCGGCGATCGATTATGGTGACTATAACATTCTTCCACTTTTTCCATACGTTTTATATACTTGTAATCGTCATTGAAAATTTTGGTACAGGTTTTTCAACTATCCGGGTCAACCACAACCGGGGACGCCAATTTTTCCTCAACATTTGGCGACTGTGCCTTTGCCACCAGCATTACCCATCGTTCAGCCACTACCAAGCAATTTATCGATGGGACAACAGTCTTCGATATTTCAAAGTATCCCTACGAACAACCCACCATACCATTTGAGTCAGAGATTAGACTTTCGACATCCGGATTCGTAAGTAACAAGTGATCACGGTAAATGTGTACATCGTCGATTTATAGTGCGCGACTGAATCACTAAAAACTGAAATCGCGTGTGATAATTACTACTAAACACTTTAGAATGTAGCAGAACGTATTGCAATTTACGGTAGCGTTTCCAAAAATTGGAAGACTTGCTGCTATGTGAACGAACGATGAAATCGGAAGGATTCGAGAATCGCGTCGGTTCTGGCGTCATTCGTACATATCAGGTTTGAAAAATAAAACTCGTGGGGCCGAACTATCGTCGGCAATTCTTAGGAACTTAGGAAATTTTTTTGTACTCGCATTTATTGTAAGGAGACACGGTATACACAGTATATAGTTTCTTTTTTCAATCGCAGTCTCTCCGTTTTTACAGGAAAAACCGAACAAACATATTTTTATCTCCGAGAAATCGTAACAATAAATAGTGCCGTACTTTCTTTCTTGTATACAAACATAGGAAACGAACTAATAAATTATTTATTAACTGTACATTGAGATTGGATATAAAAATTATATCAATAAAGTTTGTTACAATATTTTCTTGTATGAAACACAGGGTGTATTTACTACAAAGCTGAAGGAGACAGTACTTTGCTGANCTCGTAGTTAACGAGCCAGCTCTGGGAGTCCCCTTCTTCTTGGTGTTCCTCCGATTCGTCCGTACGTTCCAGCATGCCACAAGAACCAAACGTCCCAGACGACGACGGATGCTGCGAGGCGTCGGACCGAAGAGGCGTCGATTTTTTAATTAGGATATATTACCGCTTGAATGCCACGGATCCGGTCTGCCCTTCGAACAATTCGGGGATGCTTTTTTCCCGCGTTGCGTCACGTGTTCACTTCTTTCTTCACACGAAACACTCAAAGTCACTTTATGCTCGCCAGAAGATTTCTTGATGCAGAAGTTTCGAGATAGTTTATCAGAAGACTTTTCTAACACGAAAGCACGAATTCATGCTAAGGGTTGTTCAGATAGTTGGGTACTGAGCTTTGCAAGTGCCTCGGTAGCGCAGTAGGCAGCGCGTAAGTCTCATAATCTTAAGGTCGTGAGTTCGATCCTCACCCGGGGCAATTATTTTTGGAGTCCAAACACTGAAACTATTGAATTTCATACGTAAACATCTACCATCTGATTACTATCTTGCACACTTATCATTCTCGCTTAATTTTGCTGTTTCATGTCCGCTAAATTTAATATACTCGATGCTAATCGCTATATTTTTCTTTGCTGTCATATTTGTCTGGAAATATTCTGTACGTGATCTGCATTGTACAACTATTTCTCATATTGTATTATTTATTTATTTATTCATTATTGTAATACATTCTGTTGAACAACTATGCACTAAATGCTAAGTTCAATTGCCTTTACATTAAGTCTGTAATAACAATAAGCTTCTTTGTTTCCTTATTCCTTAAGCAGCCTGTCTTTTTCACAGATAAAGATTTGGTTTCAAAACAGACGCACAAAGTGGAAAAGGAAGTATACCAACGATGTGGAGTTGCTAGCGCAACAGTATTACTCCAGTTTGGGGATTCCTGCCCCGCGACCAATTTTTGTCGGCGATCGATTATGGTGACTATAACATTCTTCCACTTTTTCCATACGTTTTATATACTTGTAATCGTCATTGAAAATTTTGGTACAGGTTTTTCAACTATCCGGGTCAACCACAACCGGGGACGCCAATTTTTCCTCAACATTTGGCGACTGTGCCTTTGCCACCAGCATTACCCATCGTTCAGCCACTACCAAGCAATTTATCGATGGGACAACAGTCTTCGATATTTCAAAGTATCCCTACGAACAACCCACCATACCATTTGAGTCAGAGATTAGACTTTCGACATCCGGATTCGTAAGTAACAAGTGATCACGGTAAATGTGTACATCGTCGATTTATAGTGCGCGACTGAATCACTAAAAACTGAAATCGCGTGTGATAATTACTACTAAACACTTTAGAATGTAGCAGAACGTATTGCAATTTACGGTAGCGTTTCCAAAAATTGGAAGACTTGCTGCTATGTGAACGAACGATGAAATCGGAAGGATTCGAGAATCGCGTCGGTTCTGGCGTCATTCGTACATATCAGGTTTGAAAAATAAAACTCGTGGGGCCGAACTATCGTCGGCAATTCTTAGGAACTTAGGAAATTTTTTTGTACTCGCATTTATTGTAAGGAGACACGGTATACACAGTATATAGTTTCTTTTTTCAATCGCAGTCTCTCCGTTTTTACAGGAAAAACCGAACAAACATATTTTTATCTCCGAGAAATCGTAACAATAAATAGTGCCGTACTTTCTTTCTTGTATACAAACATAGGAAACGAACTAATAAATTATTTATTAACTGTACATTGAGATTGGATATAAAAATTATATCAATAAAGTTTGTTACAATATTTTCTTGTATGAAACACAGGGTGTATTTACTACAAAGCTGAAGGAGACAGTACTTTGCTGACTCCTAAGGTCTTCTCGTCGTGGGCTGCTTGATCCTGGATTATTTTGGCATACTTTTCATTGTCCTGTAGGTCCTCTTCGTCCAACATTTCTTGCATCCTTTGTTTATAGCTATAATTGTACCGTAGATAGCTAAATTAATTTACTTACCACTATACATTTCCTACCTCCATTTGGACACTATATATCAACACTAATAACTCTACAACTATACTTACATATCACTGTCAGGATTATTTTCCTGATTTCTACATTTCTCCAATTTTTTTTCCAAAGCCCTTATTACATCCCTTGAAGGAGGTTCTACGCATTTAGCCATAGACCTTATTTCTAGAATGTATGTATCATGTGTTAACTTATTCTGAAGTTACTTCTAGGTACTTATACTAAGCTTATCTAAGCTTATATTTACTTCTTACTGCTTCAATTATGCATCCCAAGTGTTCCTTGGAAAATAGAATATCAGTCACATAATTATCCAGGCTTGCAGATGCTCTGGATGCTGCATGCAGTGTGGCTGCTAATGCAACTTGGGTCGGAGCATAGAGCAACACACTATCGGTCAAAAATACCCTTTCCAGAAACTCATCGATGTATGGCCTTAGCCTTTCTGGGTTTTCCAAGGATGTGTACCTTGTCTAAAAATGTGGAAGTTAAATTGCCTGAGCACCAGATGAATTTGAACTTAACAGCTAGAGCAATGTACCTTGATATCGATCATCAATCCCTCCACAGGTCTGAATGGATTGTGTACCGTTAAGTTGTAATTCAATTGTTGCATAAGAAGCAATTCATTATTAAGTATAATATTGTTAGCCTTCTCTCTGTCACCCTTAATGTTAGCAACAAACTGATATATCGAAACATTAAATTCTTCTACCTAAAATATGTGTCTTGTGAGTATAAGAATTCAAGTGGAAATTTCAGTAGAATTTAATTGATAATTACTTTACAAGCCAAATAAACACATGTGACTAGAATCTCTTTCGGATGATAATCCATAACACTGTTTCTCAGGTAGAATCTTTTGAAATAATGCAATGCGGTTGCTATGGTTGCCCTTGGCATTGGTGGACTGAACCGTCGACAGAAGTCCCTCAATTGCAACTCATAGAACCGAACCAGGGTACGTTCCTCAGTAGACGATAGAAAATGTTCTTCTCTTTCTTCCGCCTTGTAAATATTCTTTCAAGTTACAACCACTATCAAAATACCAATAATCGAGTACTATAACTCGCATAGAACTCATGAATTACAGAAAAGAAAATACAACACAACAACAATGCCAATACATAGTAGTGTGTGCGAATGTATCGATAGGTGCACTTTATCGACAGAGAAGTGCATATAACCTACAATGTTCCACAACATGGAACGAGACAACATTCCAAAGACAATGAAGATATAACAATAGTGCACAATTGAAGTAGTGAACAATTCCAGAATGAAATCAAATGAAATAAAATTGAAGCTTATCACAAAGGACCAAACAGCTTACCATCATGTTCGCCCCATGCCTCTCAATAAACTCAGTATTTGTTCTCTCGCGTAGTGTTGTCAAGTCATTTTCATCGCAAAACATCCAGTACTTCTTTTGAGAGCTTTGCGGAAACATTTTCGTTGGATTCTTGACGAATGCACACGGAAATATTCAAACTTTCATTCGAACTAACTCGACCGCGAAAGAACGCGGCAAAATGGAATGGCGGCCTGCGAGGAACAATACGAACGTGGTATTTGCGCGAAGATGATGCAGAGGGCAGCATCTGCTGCACTTTCGAATTCGGTGCAACTTCAAGTCGGTACAGTTGCGAACTACGCCATAGACGAGGACCGAGGCACAGGAAAAGTTTTGTTCCTGCTGTAGAAAATAAAGTATGCAGATAATTATGACCCTACTTCATTTTTGAGAGACCCTGACGATCCATGAACTTACGATTTTCCCGTTTGCTATGAACATGATCCCAAAGACTGCCTTTTTCCTTCTTTATTGGTGAGTACGCAAATCAACATTGTAATGACTGTTAGAACACATGCGATAGGTCACAATCGTAATTATAGGATACGAAAAGAACAATTGAAATGACGGGTAATTATCATGTTTTACGATGTACGCGTTTGCTAATGACTCGCGAAAAGATTTTTTATCTTTTCGTTGATTTAAGCTGTGTGTACTTTTAATAGTATACGCGAGCGAAATACTTTGTTTACGTATACTTAAGTTATGGTTCCCGATAGAAGGTTTCCGGGATCCACCTTTATTTTTCGCGTGCTTCCAGGAAATACAAACATGAAATGTATATTTTAGTGCATAATAACGTTCGACTGAAGGAATAATTCTAGTGTTTAACTAAATAATGTTAGCCTTTAACAAAATAGAATTACACAAGGGTGTACTATTATGAAAATTCTAGCGATTAGAATTTCAAGCGCCAATTGTGGCAAATTGCATTCCATGATATTTGTCTGTACGGTATCGTGTTAAAATTTCTGTTCAGACTATGGAAACACTATTCTGTAGATATGAATAGTTTTACTATAACATTAGTAAACAAATACTGGGAATTCTAAATTATGCAGTGCTAGTATTCAGTCCAATGTTAACGAGAGTCTGTAATTATGAATGAACGTACTCTGAATGTTTACTGAGAAAACACAGTCAATTGTTTTGCACAAGCGTGTGTATGTGAATAAGTGTTACTATAGAAGAACCTAACAAAGCAGAAAAGAAGAAACAAGTAGTCAACTATTTCAACTTCCTTGCACAGCAGTAAATGACTGTTGTGCAAGAATGCAAAACACGGTAAGTATGTGTTTTTGTACAAGGATACACAGTGTAGTAAGTGAAAGTAAAGTATTTTGCACAAGGATGCAAAATCTACTCTTGTTGGGTAACCATCAAGGACACAAAGTATTCTACTTTGCATAGGGATACACGGTATTGGAGAATAGGAATTATGATAAATGTAGGGAAATTTAGGGATAAAAAATACATATAAGAATATTATTTATATTATAATTATAATTATTATATTATATTCAATATTTTGTATACTACAATAATATTTTGTATGATTATAAAAAATGTAGGAAGACATTCAAGGATACAAAATGTACAAAGGAAACATTTTTCACAAGTATAGAAAATATAGTTGAGCGATATTTAAGTGTCTAAAATATAAAAAATAGACATTTTATACAAGGACACAAAATAAACTTGATAAGTAGCTATTCAGAGAAACAAAATATAGTGAATAACCATTTTGCAGATGGATACAAGGTGTAGAAAAGACTGGAAGCAGAGGTTTCCTAAACACAGAATCAAATTTAATTATATTTAGCAAGCTAGCAATTATTTTAGAGCACTCCAGGGTGCGACAGAGTGTGGGTGCACAAGAATGCGAGACACGAGTGTAAACAGACGTGGATTTCAGTAAAAGGGACCATATTTTCTGGTAACGTGATTGTACGTGCCAGTAATAAACAAGTTCGGCGAATGGTTGATAGAGGGTCAGAGGTGGGGGTCCAATTTTAATATGTACGCCCCCGCAAGCGGTTGCACGTCGGATCTGAGGGGGCGTTCCTACGACCCTTTGTCAACCGACGACGCCGCTGCATCTTATCACGATCAAGGCTCGGGATCTCCCATTCTGCTCCTCTACCTCGTTCAGCCCTCGAGGCCATCCCGGTGCTGCCGCTTGTTCAAGCAAAGACGTTGCCTCGACGTCTCGGTGGCTATAACTTTCTACTTTTTGCACGTTGATTTATGCTTCTTTATGGTGCGCGACGATACGTCGCGCCAGATCGCGGCGCATCGGATCCCTTAAAATTTCGCAAAGCATCTGCAACACATATCATCCGGGCCCTTCGATCGCCGGATAAAGAAGGCCGCCATCGAAAAATCCAATTCGGCCGAATTGAACGCGAAAAGCAACGTGCACCACGCGATCGGTTTTAGTTAATTAGGCTACGTGTGCGAACGGCGATAGGGTAAGTGGTCGAGGAGATATTTGCGCGACAAAGTGGTCGGCGCCGCACGAAAAGTTGGATTTACGGCGAAGTCCGGGTCGAAAGGCGATATTGCACCTGAACGTGAAGTACATCCGCCATTAATCTAATATTGCGGTCGCCGCCGCCCTCGACTTCGCGTGCTAAAACCTACCGCGTTAAAGCTTGGCCCCCCTTTCGTACAAACGCAAACACTAACACCAACATTTCGCGGACACGCGCGCCTACAGGAGCACGTCTACGAAAAGGGAAAAGGGTCTCGTGCTCGAACATGGACACCGAAGAGAACCAGCCGGAGCCAATCGGTCGGGTTTGCTGCTGAGGATAATGCGAAATCAATGTCTGGCATGGAGCGCGAGGTGTGACGGCCAAAGTGGATTACCTTAGCACCCTTCCGGCCCGACGACGGTTCACCGCAATCAACCAGAACTTCCCGAATCGCTTCCGATACGGAGAAATCGGCGCGATGATGCGAACCAGTCGATGCGTATTCCGATGCTTTCGCCGGATCGTCGCGTATGCAAAAATACTGGACACGCACGTGTTACATTGTTTTTCTTTTTTTTTTTGCATGCGTGACCTACTGTATCGCATGACCGTTAACATGCCGTGGTATCGTCGTCGGTTAACCCGCAAAAAGCGGTATCACGCCTGCTCCTAACACTCCACGTCTGATCGGCCGGCTGTCCGACACGCAAGCCTTCGGCGATCGAAGGCATTCTCGTGTGTTGTTCCTCGTGATGGACGTACTGTTTGCATATTATATGGAGTTGGTGGTCACAACCTTTCCTCCGTCCGTTCAAAGTGGCCCGACAATGCCGCCGCAGCCGTATTGTACAAATCGCAATACGAATCTTCTAAAAGCAGCTGGACGCATCTGTTCAAGAAACACGTAAATGCACCGATGGAGAACGCCGCGCGTTATCTGACGACAATGGTGATTACACGCGCATGCACATTCTTTGTACGCCGAATTCGATGGTCTCGTGACACCGACAATAGGCGCGCGAATTAATTCGCTGCCCTCCTTTTCCATTGTCTGCACTACGGTAGAAAGATGCTCTCTTTCTTTCGCGAACTTGAACGAGCCGATACTTTAACGCAGTCTACGCGCAACTACTAGACTTCGGGTCTGTGTATGCAAAAAGATGTCTGCATCAATTGCAGAAAACGGACGTCAAATATGAATGTATTTCTTCTTTGAATAGTTTTTATAAGTAGTCGTAATATAGAGTTGCGGAGATTTATATTTACCGAACAAGACATATTACATCTTTTTAGTCTTTCGTTCCGTTTATTTTCGAAGAAAAAGAATTTAATGTGTCTTAGTCGATAGATATAAAGTTAAATCATCCCATAATAACCGGCTCCACTATCCTGGCAATCTTTTTATTACGTCCTTGCGATGTCCTCGGTGCTCCGTATTATACTTACCCACTTCTGTTGCAAATGTATGAAATCTGCAGTAATCTGCAGTAAATCTGTCTAGTAACGCGATTACATCGTATCATTATTCGATCTTCCTTTTATTTCGACGATACCAACCGTAGCTCGATGCGCCGTTTAAGAGATCCATTTGAAAACAAATTTGCCACAGCAGCGGCAACGTGGAATTCATTTACGCCGCTGATAAAGCACCTGTCTCGTTGAAGCGCAGTGCAAATAAGTATCAACGGCGCTAATTACCGAACGCACATTCCTAGATTCGTGCGGATGAGCACTATATCACCGCGTACGCTATCTCGTATCGGATGTTTCGGGGCAACGTTTGTTCACCGGTCTGCGAAATGATTATACGCGCATCGCGTATGTGCAGCTAAATTCGCCAGAGACGTCGTTACGCAACAAATCATAAATCTCGCAGTCAGCGAGCGTGCGTAGCCGGAAAATAGAGGTGTACGGGGTTCGCCGCGATTGGATGGGCTCGTATGCACGTGTGGACGCGAGATATCCGAGCATCCTGTATTCATATAAACGAGTTCGTGCATCGAGTACGTCATAAACATTGTACGCGAACGAAGCCGCGGCGTGTTGCCCGGACGATGTCCCGTCGCATAAGTCACGATGCTTAACTATAATATAACACGATTGCCACGGCTTATCAAGGCCGCGGCCGGAATCGGGCAACAGTTTTATTCGGTGAAAGCCGCGATCGACAGAAGTGTTTTATCCGACTCGATGTTTGCTTTTGCGGTCGACGTCGTCGGCGTCGTTACCGGCGCGAGAAGGAACCGGCGATCGTAATTTAGAAAATAAATATGCGGATGGAAAGCCGAGGGAAAGGAGAGAACTTGTCGCGGCGAGGCTCTTCCGTCGGCGAGCAACCACGGGCAGCCGGTTTTTTCCTTGAATATTAAACCGTGATGCGAAATTACGGAACGCTGCTCCAGATGCGTATCGGCAGATACGTATCGAGACGATCGCGCGAACGCAACGCCGATCTGGAACCAATTATCCCCGATTCAAATATCCACAACGGGATATCTCTGGCCCCGGGGCGTCGACGATGCAAATAACACGGCTGTCTCGAATCGAGTGCAATGACAGTCTCCGACAATACACGCGCGGATCAACTCGCTGGGAGTCATCGATTAAACGTTCGGACGGGTGCTGAACTGGTCCGCGAACGAAACCGCAAAATTTGCGCACATCGTGTGTTGCTTGCGCCGAAATTTTCTGATGCCGTTTTATTATGACTAGACTGCGCGGATTTGATGCATTTGTGGCAAAAATTACAAGCTACAAGTTCAAATATATGTGTGGTAAATTAGTTGATAGTAAATCATGAAAGGAAGAACGAAAAGTCTATCTGACTGCAATCTCTTGTAATCGATGCAAGAAATTTTTACTCTTCTTTTCTGTTTAGGACAACTGTTGAGGATCGATTTCGAGAATTTGCAATTGGTTTGCGCTGGTGGAGGAACCATCTCTTCAGCTATTTCGCAATTCGTGTATACGTCGACAAAGGGATGACGACGCAGCGAATAGGCTACCAGGGCGAAGCTATTGGAGCGATTAAAAAGTACACAGTTCGGTAGTGACTAAGGCACAGGATATCGCGTGAAGGACAACTGGCGTTGATGCGCCAGCCTGGCTGCAGTTCGGTGGACAATGGATCTATCGACAGCCACAATTGCGGCAGTTTTATGTCGAGACCAGGAGGGCTGTGAAAGAGAGCAGAAGGGTTCTAGAATGAAGGAATGCGGCAAGCGGAATAAAGCAAACGGAAGACGGGCAGAAGGTCGAAGAGGTAGGGAGCTACGAAGACGGCTGCCCGAGCGCAACCTTCGCCCCCGGCGGGACCACGGTCGGCTCGCCACACGTTGAACAATAAGAAGCATCGGTGAAGAAGAGGAACGGTGGAAAACGAAGGAGAAAGTAACGCAGAAAGAAAGAGCAAGCCAGCCAGCCAGCGCTCTCGGTTGTATACGGTATAATTACAGAGGGCAGAGCAGTGGCTAGACCCGCTACAGCAACTTATCGTTGCCCAAGGCGCCAGCATACTCGAAATCGGTCGGGCTCGATCCTGTTGCGACTTGGTCCTAATTCGTATTCGTGCCCCGGGTGTAACAGATAGTATATGCCTCGAAAAACGGCGGAAGGACTGGCAGGGATCTCCTATGCTACGCCCTCCTCCCTATCCGCCGGTTTCTTCTTATCTGGTTTTAGCAATGCAAATCTGGATGGTCAAAACGGTAATCCGCGTGTTCTGTGATTCCGACGGGACTCTCTCGGCGGGGCGTTTTGCGATTAGAAATTTAAAACCGGCGCTGAACGTTGATGATTTGTTGATATCCGGTGGCAGTATCCGTTTCCAGGATCCCGGGTAGCGTCTTCCTCTTTCGTGTCGGCGTCGGCGGCAACAGCCGTGTCGAATGATATTTCTTCGACGGTATGAAGCACGAGCCAGATCCCTTACACCTCTATTTCCACTTTTAATGCGAGCGAGGCGCGGGCCGCCTCCTCTGGTCCCGACTAGCCCCGATAATTAGCGACTATGATCAGGGGACCAGTCCATGTGACGCAACTTAACGAAACGTAACACCGCGCTACGGAAACCCCAAGTGGTTGAGGCGTGTTGCACCAAGCCGAACGACTCGCCAACGTTGTCCACCGTCCGTGCACGACACCGAGAAAAATGCTGGAACTTTATCAGATGCTGCTAATTAGTTTATGATGAGGCAATCAGGGAAAATGCGAGAATTAATTTAAACTATCTGATTATCGCCCTGTGCCGAACCCCCTCCACCGCCGCGGATCTCCTAACGGCTTCTGGTAAATTACAGGCGCATTAGAGTCATTAGAGTCATTAACTAATTTGAGGGAGAAGAATCGGCGGCAGGGGAGATAGGCAACGAGGTTTGTTTAGCGCTCCGGTACGGATCCATGCGAACATTGTCATTACCATGGGGCCGTGCACGCAGCCTTGGTACGGCCAGTTAGAACAGTCTAAATATTTTGTTCTTATAATTACATGGTGCACGGCTGTACCGTAAATGGAAGACGACAACCTTGTACCAGCCTGCGTGAGAGGCCTCGAAGCGCGATTACGTTCCGCGGTCTCCGAGGCTTGCGTGCCGTTTTTTCCTCCTTTCCCCGGTAAGCTGAACACGGAAAGGAAAGGAAAGCGTTCCCTGAACGCGACAGAATAACGCCGCGCCGGAGCGGTTGTACGCGCAATGCCACGTACGTACGAAGACACAAAGGGAACTTAATGGAACGGATTATCATTTACAAGGAAAGGAACCGCGGCCCGCCACGGCGTCGCTATTGTACCGAATGCTATCTGATCCTGACCCGCGCACGCTTGTCTATCGTTTCGCGCGCTGAGCGTACCGCGCGTTGGAACTTGTACCCGCGGCCGTTCCAAGCGAGACGTCTTCATCGCGTCCTCGAAGGGCACGGTGAAATGCAAGGCGGTATGCACCGCGGTGCACCGGGATTATCCGCTTTCGCGGCAATTCGTGGCTTCCGACGCGCAGGCCGCATCGCGCAAAATGGCCGCGGACCCGCGATCGCTGATTGGCGATGGCGGGGCGGGCGATTTGAGCGGCGGTTGGTGGTTCCAGCATAGCCCGGTGCGAGTAATTTTGATCGTGATTATACTAATTTCATAGTATGCCCCTTCTCAGTGGCTTTAAGCACTGGGCGAGTTCACACGAGCGGCCGGCACAGGGCGACTCTCGAGTATCCGTACTTGCGAAATCGAACGCGGCCCGTTCGATGGCTTGCGAAAGTGATCTCTCCGGTGCCGTCGAAAGTCCATCGTCAGTGCGGCGACATTGCCGGGGAACGTTCCTGAATAGTTTCTACGGTCGGGCCCGGCCGGTGCACGCGATAACAGTGTCATCGTTTCGCAAAGTTGCAATTAGAGGGGACCAATTTACATGTTACGTCTTCGTACGGCGTGTATGCGACGCGTCCACGGTTCGCGTACGCGCGGTGTAAACTCGCGGAATAATTTCAGCGGAGTATACTTCTTTTTCCACGAATAAGGGGTAAAGATGAGCACGGCGAGCGTGTGAAGCCGCCCCTGCTGTTGCTATTAACGTCAGCTATATTGAACCGTAATTGTCCCGTGTTGTTAGTGCGGCGTATTCACGGGCAAAAGGCCCCCGTTTTGCCTGCCCCTCCCTGCGCCCCTCGTCGTCCCGCCGTTCCGTTCCTCTAACATTTTCTATCCTCGTTCGTCTCTGGCTCGCCTCTCCCTCTCTCTCTCTCTCTCTCTCTCTCTTTCTCTCTTTCTCTCTTTCTCTCTCTCTCTCTCTTTTGTTCCTGTGCGCTCGTTACCTCTCTCCTCCCCGTGGGCAGCGAGCGGAGCATCGCCGCAACGGCGGCGGTGGGGGCTAAATTACCACAATTTTGTACTTTTTATACCGCGAGGGAAAAAAAGAGGATAATTTTTGGTGGAAACGCAACAATTTTATCGGCCGTTGTTATGTGAGATCAGTTGGTGTCTACTGCCGCTGCGCGTTACACCTGCCTGTCCCGTGTGCTCCGCTCTCGCTGACTTTGAATCGGCGGCGCGCGTTCCGTTTTGTCACCTCGACACCGCCGCAAGTGTTACCGAGTTCCTTTGAATCCCAACGGCGAGACGGACCATGTCCACGTCCGTCACCGTATCGATCAGCCTGCGCATTTATCCGGTCGCCATTTTGCCGACCTTGAGCACCGTTTCCTCGAACTCCGCGCTATAGATATCTCGGATCTCTCGCCCTTCCACGTAGCCCACAATGACAAGTGACATAATGATCGGTGTGCACCTGTGTCTGTCCGTGTGTTCTACCGATGTGCCGTCTACCAAGTGTCTCCGCAGTTCTGCTGGTTCGCCCAAATATGTGACCATTCGCAGAAGAAACGCGTACACGTCGATCAGCCGCCATTTTGGTGACCGTGTACCACGCTGTTCGCTGTTCGGAGTGAAGCAATCCTCGCTGAAATTGTGAATTATTGCCTTTTCGTCGTACCGCAGTCGTACGAACCTCGTGAAACTGCTTTCTGAACGGCATTCTGGTAACTATGACATTACTAAACGGTTGATAGAAGCGCCAGGAGACGTGTGTCGTCGTCCACGATCTTTAAAATCCGGTGGTGTTGCTCCATTTATCTATTGCCTGCCTTCTAATTACTACGCCACTACCTTCCTCCACGGCCCGTTTTATGCCGCAGACAAATTCTTCTGCACCTCCGACATGCCTCGGGCACGGACATCACTGTCACGGGAGATTTATACCCGTTGGAAAGAACGGTGCCCGCGNTCTCTCTCTCTCTTTTGTTCCTGTGCGCTCGTTACCTCTCTCCTCCCCGTGGGCAGCGAGCGGAGCATCGCCGCAACGGCGGCGGTGGGGGCTAAATTACCACAATTTTGTACTTTTTATACCGCGAGGGAAAAAAAGAGGATAATTTTTGGTGGAAACGCAACAATTTTATCGGCCGTTGTTATGTGAGATCAGTTGGTGTCTACTGCCGCTGCGCGTTACACCTGCCTGTCCCGTGTGCTCCGCTCTCGCTGACTTTGAATCGGCGGCGCGCGTTCCGTTTTGTCACCTCGACACCGCCGCAAGTGTTACCGAGTTCCTTTGAATCCCAACGGCGAGACGGACCATGTCCACGTCCGTCACCGTATCGATCAGCCTGCGCATTTATCCGGTCGCCATTTTGCCGACCTTGAGCACCGTTTCCTCGAACTCCGCGCTATAGATATCTCGGATCTCTCGCCCTTCCACGTAGCCCACAATGACAAGTGACATAATGATCGGTGTGCACCTGTGTCTGTCCGTGTGTTCTACCGATGTGCCGTCTACCAAGTGTCTCCGCAGTTCTGCTGGTTCGCCCAAATATGTGACCATTCGCAGAAGAAACGCGTACACGTCGATCAGCCGCCATTTTGGTGACCGTGTACCACGCTGTTCGCTGTTCGGAGTGAAGCAATCCTCGCTGAAATTGTGAATTATTGCCTTTTCGTCGTACCGCAGTCGTACGAACCTCGTGAAACTGCTTTCTGAACGGCATTCTGGTAACTATGACATTACTAAACGGTTGATAGAAGCGCCAGGAGACGTGTGTCGTCGTCCACGATCTTTAAAATCCGGTGGTGTTGCTCCATTTATCTATTGCCTGCCTTCTAATTACTACGCCACTACCTTCCTCCACGGCCCGTTTTATGCCGCAGACAAATTCTTCTGCACCTCCGACATGCCTCGGGCACGGACATCACTGTCACGGGAGATTTATACCCGTTGGAAAGAACGGTGCCCGCGCGGGCGTAGCTTGCTGTTCACTTCGGTGCTTAAAAACCTTGTTCCTTTATTTCTGAGACAAAACGTCTCTCGGCCTAGTGAACCGAAAGCTGTTTGCTTTGACGGTGCATGGAACGCGACTGCCTCGAGAACGACTCGACGCGTCGCGTCGGAGCGTTCGCAAAACCGCGCGGGTTTCGCTAGAAACTGAAGGCGAGCGGTTTGGGATTCCGCGGTTTCTCGCTCGGCGAACGGAATTGCCGGAGCCGTCGGATCCTTATTGATGCCGGGGATATCTATCGCTCCCGGGCTTGCTGGACCAACGATGAAAAAGGGGGAGAAGGAGGCAATAAAACCGCAAGGGCGAAAAGGACGGAGGTAAATAACGGTGGAGGAGGCGTGGTTGGCGCGATGCGGCGCCCTCAAAGCACGATCGCCCCTCGAGGGTACACCTTTTAAGAGTTCGAGGTACGAGGACCGTCGAAACTGGGAGCCCCGGAGATAAGATCCTCCTAGTTATCGAACGGACTCCCGTTCACGATCGATGTACCAGAACCCGTCCACGGGTTTCGATGTTCCCGCAGGCGAGCCGTTCCTTCCACCTTTTGATTTCATTGTGCCGTTGAAACGTGGCCTTGGCCGGCCACAAGGACGCTTCTTTTATAAAATTGCCGGCCGAGCGTCGGCCGGCTTTTCTTCGAACTCCGCCATTGCGAAATGTTTCAGCCTGCCCGACGCGACGGTAGACATTCTTCCAGATCCTATCGGTCCGCATCTCGCGTATCTCGATTTTTAGCGTGGGCGAGGAACGTAGATTTCCGACGTCGATACCCAAAGCTGAAGGGGAAAGGGCTAGCTCCGCCGGATCGTTGATGCGTTTCCTCGAAATCGGACGGAACGCTAGATAATTCTGGAGGAAACGGAGTATCTACGGACATAAGTCGCCTCCAGACATCTAAATGGCTACCTTCGTGCTAGACCGAGAGAGAGAGAGAGAGAGAGAGAGAGAGAGAGAGAGAGAGAGAGAGCCGCTAACGACAATACGATGACCCCGAAGCTGCGGAAACAAAGACCGGGTCGCAAGCATAGAGGAATACACAACGTTTCAGCCGGTAATTACAGCTTCTTCTGTATCTTGCGAGGCAGCCGCGGCAGATGCGGATAATGATAGCCTAAATGTACCGATGTGTCCCGCTTCAACGAGAACGCAGCCTGATCTCATCGATCACGATCCCTATTGCTCAATAACCGAAAACCATTGGTCCGAATCGGACAACGAAAGCCAGCCGGCCCCCGTGGAATTCTAGAGTTCCTAACGAAATTCGTTCCGACGTCTCTATTACACCGCGTACGCTATCTATATGCAGATGCGCGGCATGTTTTGTATGTCACGTTGAAACCGATCTTCACGGACTTTTTGCCGGCGGTACTTACAACTGTCTCTGTCCACGAGAGCGACGATCCGACGCTAGAGCAGGTCCTGACCCCGCCCCGCGACCCAACAGGCCTTTAATTACCAAAAATTTTACGAGCCGCGCGTCCAGTTCTGTCATTTGTTTGCTCAAGCACGCCGGAAGTTTCGGACTAATTGATTATCTGCTAATTTGTAACATCGCCTGCTTAGAAGCCGCCGAATGGTCGCCGTGATGGTCGCGGTGCGACGGCTACCGGCCGAGCATTCCGTCTCTTTCAACAGCGAGACCGCCACCGAGCCTCAATTTTCCACGTTTACCCGCGGAATTTCAGTTCACCGTTTTTCTCCTGTTGTCGTTCCCGTGTTTCCCACGTTTGCCTTTTTTCAAACTTTTTCTCCGCGGCGGGTTTAACGGCCGGCGCAAACAGCTGAAGTTTTCGCTCGCCGGCCCGGCAGACCGCGTTATAGACGTGTGGGTAATAGGTCCGCGTGAGAGCACAGAGGGTTAATGTTTACCCTGGTCTTGTCCGTGGATTGGATAATTGTATTAAACTTGATCACGATGGGGACAACGTAATTCGAGGTTGTTGAGTGTAATCTTGCCACGGTGCTCTAATCGCGACAAAACTGCGGACAGATCTGTACCTCGCGCTCGTGTAACGTTTCAATGTTGCGAATAGGTTGCGAGCTGGCCAGCTGGCCCGTTAACTACCAATCCTGCGATTCGAATTAACTTCGCTCCCGATGCTCTTGGTAATTTCACTTGGTCTGGAAGCGCGAAGACATTGCGTTCTGAGATTTTTAAGTCTTTTTTTTCGTCTGGTTCCGATCTGTTCGATGGATACGCTGCTTACAAATCATTCGCGATAATTGCATTTTTGGTGCGTGCGATGTAATAATGCATGTTTAACATAGTTTCCACGTTCTCTGCGAGATAAGACTAATCTTTGGTTCTGATCAACGAATACATTGCCTGCTACAAGAGAGTTTTCAAAGCTGCGATGTGTTAGAGTAAACGTAGGAGGCTTAGGAGCAGCAAACACGTACGTTTAAAATTGCTTTCACATGGATTCTCACGGAATCATTTATTCTTTACATATTTTCTGTAAAATGAGACTAGTTTTTCTTCTGTTCAGTTCAGTGCACACGTAATCTGCTACAAGAGACTCGCAATGTTAGCATGAATTGCTTCTGCAATTTGTTACGGTAAATGTAGAAAGCTTAGGGATAGCAAAGATGTATGTCTGAAATCGCTTGCACGTGTATTCTTTCTAAATCACGTTGTCCCCAGGAGTTATCTGCAAAATGAGGCAAGTTCTACGACATATAAAACGATCATCAGTTGCATCTTTCTCCCCAGATCGTTGCAACAAAAACAACTCTGCTTAAAAGTAGCAAGAATGTATAATCGGGCTCATTTGTGATTCTGGTTAGTCCAATAGCTACATCATTTCATACGTATTAGCACGGAGGACTTCTGCCTCCACCATAAGTGACTCCTCAACCCCCAGAATGCCACAATCAAGACAAGGTACTCGAGGGTAACAGAGACACGTGTTCGACAGTGTCCTCGAGCCTCCTTTCTGGCTGCGAGCAGTTTAGCGGCACGTCGCCGGCTACCAGCAAGGATCCATCGTTCGGGAGTAGCAGAGCTACGTGTTAGAGATGTCGAGGGCCCGAAACGTGTCTCAGAGGTCCAGTTTCGAGGTCACAGCCGGCTGTGTTTCGCGGCGGAACGTGGCCGGGGCATCGGATCGCATAAGCCGGCTACATGGGCCAGGACCGCGTAATAACACGGCAGCACGAAACAAACCGACGAATTAGGTACTATCGGGTTCTGCGAAAGCGGTCGACAGACGGACGTATAGCTTGGACGGACGGATGGACGGACAGACAGCTAGCGCGAGGGCCCAGCGTGCCGAAGAACGGGGCACTGCGCCGCGGCGAACTGGCGCGGCGGTACGGGGAGGGGGATGGAGTTTGGGGGAAGGAAGGGAAGCCTCGAAAGGGCCTGGCCTCGTGCAATTACGGGGCCCCGGCAACCCCGACATTATCCCCAATTATCCGCGTGCGTTTTGAGGTTAGGTTTTCGGGGCCCCTTCGGGCCAGAGACGCGCGAGAGAGCCACCGCGAGGCACCGCGACCGAAACGTCCACGTAAAACCCGAAAGAAACGGGAGACAAAGAGCGTCGGGACGACGGGGAGCGTACAGGTACCGGGGCCGAGGGCTCCATTATGTGGCGTCTGGCGTCAGAAACGGATCGAGATCCGAGCACGTTTCGGTTTTCTTCTCGGTCTGTGTGCTTTCTCGCGGGACTCGAGACTCGAGACCGCAAGGCATGCGACCTATCCACCGTGAAGGGTTGCCGCAGCGCTGTTCCCGCGACCGCAGGTCGGCCTGGAGCAATCACGCTGCAAACGGGTCGATAAGTTAGCGAAAACCGTTAGGCACGAATTTTCGCCAGCGAACAGGACCCTGAGCAGCCTTAGCCCACTTCGGGCCCGGGAACATCGTTAGAGGTCATCAAGCTGCTTCTCATGGTCGTCGATCCCAGGTTGTCTGTCGAGATCATTTACTCTGCTTTATATATTGATGGCAAATCGTATGAACAACATCAATTTTGCAACTGTAACGTGCTGATGGGATATTCAATTAGGACATAGATTTAGGCTACATTCGGATTTGAAATTTCGTAGCGATAAACGTAGGACAACGTTCTCACTGAAGCCATCTTCTTCTCGCTGCTCCATACTTCTTGAAAACATCGTCGTTTATTGACTGATTTCCCTCTGCATCTTCTATTTGTATTCACTAATATGTATCTCACGCAATTTCTTTCATCGAGTGAAACTGCTTCCAACTTTGTCAAAGATATTCTGAAAACTGCTCACCGATTTGATTCGCTTCTTATATCGCTGGTCAATCAGTTGAACAGCGATGATTTTGCAGTTAGCACATTGCGATGGGACATTTAATTAGGACATTAACGTGCTACATTCCGATCAGACACAGCGACAAAATCGCTTTTGTACATCGTCGCAAGAAACGAACCTGGTACATCCTACGAATACGTTCTGAACGTTGGGAAAGATCGCCGTTTAGTGTCTATTTCTCTCGGCATCTTCACCTTTGTACCTACTGATGAATATGTATCTCACACACTTTCATTAAGAACGTTCGGATTGCAAGCTAATGGGAATGGATTGTTCTGATAACAGCACGCATTACTTCAATCTTGTACAACGATCTGCGCGCGACTAAATCTGCCTGTTACAATGTATTCGGCTGTTCATTTGGCTTAAAAGATGGCGTTGTTGTCCTCTTTACAACAAAGGAAATCGTCCTTAAGTTTGCCAAAGACATCCAACACACTGACCCTCGATCCGTTGACGAAACCGATCGACAATCGGTTCCGGACGGTTTCCGGTCCGGCAAGGATTCCACAATTCCGCGACACCTAATTAGAACGCATACCAACGCAAACCGCTCGCACACGCTACGCGTCAAGGAAGGCAGCTAAACTTCGCCGGTGTTCCGTGATCGACTTAAAGGAAACGTTGCGCCGGTGTCATGTGCAATTAGAAACACCCTTCGTGGTACGCGATACCTAATATTAGCTGATCCATCGAAGCGAAAGCGAAACCGAATAATATATTCATAACCGGCCGGCTGAAACAATCTAACCACGGTATAGTTTACCGTGCACCGACGGATACACCCCCGCTTTCCTTCTAAGGGCGTAGTTCTTCGCCGTATATGCTAACCTTTCACTGATCGTTTGCTGCGATCTAAAGCGGCTCCGGGAGGAAGGGCGAAGGAACGATAGCGGCGGTGAAAATAGGGCAGTTTCGAGGACTCGGGCGGACCTCGTGTGTCGGTTGGCGTGCTGGAAAAGATTTACAGTCTCCGCACCGGAAAGGATACCGAGAGGGCGGTTGGTGGAAGAATGGTTTCCGGCGGCAGCTTCTAGCCTTAGAGCCTACACCTACCTGGTCGATACGCGTGCCAGCCCGACAGCGATGTCTAGCCGACACAGACACGCTTCGGAACCTTCGGGACATCCACGTTCGGTTCTACTGGATGCATCATCTTCGCTGGAAATCATTTTCGGGGTCCTGCGGGTAGCTAAGCCTGGATGAGAACACTGAGAGCAGAAGTTTGCGCATTCTTCGTTCGCTAACAGCGCGATAATACCTTTACTTATTTGCCTTAAATGTCATAACCTTATTACCAAAACCTTATAAGGTTTTGATAAGGAATTGCCTAACTGATGCAGATTTGCAGATTACCATAGCCATGCTTGATCCAAAAAATGTTGAACTGGAAGACAAGTTTCTTGCTACAAAATTCGCTTGGCGATCGAAGGAAATTAACAACGTAATGTATGATGATCCAAAACGATGTTGCAAACGTTGTTCAAAGTGTAACAATGCAAAATACAATGCAAAATAATACATGAACGCATAAGCATTCTGCATGCGACGATTAACAGGTTGAGACTCGCGTCAGCCACACGTGGGTGACACTAATGTTTGACCAAATTTTGAAATTCATTTTTATTGCATTGAATAAATTGAACGTTACTAGGATTTTTACAATACGCGAGAGTTAAAATAATATTTCCAGTAATCAATTCTAGCTTTCTGATTCCGGTTTCATTAATACAACAGACTTTGATGTTGTCGGAATTTGTGCAG